AACTGTTGTTGGCTTTATTGATGTTTCACAGTTAAATAGGCAATTTTAATGATGATATTAATATTTTGTTGCTTAAAATGGTATGGAACAACATTAAAATAATTGTTTTATCGAGAAATGCACAAGAATTAATTGGGACAAAGGTATTTGCAAATAAAAAATAAGGTTAAATCACGTATGTTATTCTTGTAACAGGTAAGGTAACTTTCATTACAAGCCTAATCCAAAACTATAATGCCGCATCAGATGAAAAACGAAAATGTAAAAAAGCGGCTAATAAAGTTTGGAAGCCAGAACTAAACACATTGCATATTTTATCAAGAAGCAAAACTATGCCTAAAAAGAGATACTTAAACAGAATAAACAGGGCTTTTTTCCTTCTGTAGCAGGGGCCGTTATAGGGCTACTTTTCTAAAGATAAATTCTTTAAAATCATGCAGTTTTCCCCAAAAATTGAATTTATATCAAGTTTTTTCTTCCCCCTTATACCGTTTAATTTTTCCCCAAAATTAAGGGCAGGTCTGCTTTCCCAACCTGTGAAAAAAAGCCATGATAAATATAGCTCTATGCTGCTGTGTTAAAAAGATAACAGATAATAATAATAACTGTATAAATTTATCAGATAATGAAAATAAGTTCTAGCAAGGCGAGAAAAATACAGAAACCATTCGGATGTTCAAGAGAAAATATACAGTAGTCAAAATATTTTATTTAAATATCACACTATGTTTACTTACATTAATTAATTTTCAAGAATACTTTCAGTAAACACGATATAATTTTGTCTAATTTCCTCTTTTGCATTCTGCGGAAAAACACAGAGGAAATCCGAATAATGAATAGATAGTAAAGAATAGATTCGCCAAAGTCAAGGCTTTTACAGAAAGCCTAGATTTATACATTTATCTAAATATTTTAGAAGGTCTTAGCGTATGAATTTTCCAAAATGTTTGTTTTATTTTTCATTGACCTTATTTTTTAAAAGGACATTCAATTTTATTTTCCTTTGTTATAAATCGATAGGAACTATCCGTTCCTATCGCACCTGTCGGACGGTAATTGACAAAAATGAAAACAAGCCCAAGAACTGTTGACATACATCAAAATGTCAGTCAAGAAACATTTAATGAATTATATACTAAGGTATGTTGATCAGTAAAAATGATTTTTAATTTAAATGTCGATAATAGGGTTTTTGAAATAACGCAAATCTTTACTAGAATTCGTCTAAAGCCATATTCGGATGGTCAACTCGGCCTCATACCAACTCGGCCCAGATTAGCTCAGCATACTTTTGAGATACATTTTTTATAATTGCTTTCGCATACATTTGCCATAAGAAAAAAACTGTGTGAAGGTAATGGTTCATTTATGCTAGAGGTTTGACAAGGGGCAGTAAGATAACAACTATTCAATGCCCAAGACAACATCTACTCAAAGTCATATATGCAAGGTAGAGTGAAGATGGCACAAATAGAACATAATCTGAATGGTAAAATGTCAACTTATATGAATGAACCACAGCGATAAGGCTCATTAAGCTATATACTAATATAAAGTCTTTATATGGCTATGGCTAGTTCTGGCTTCCATAACTTTATATGTTGCTTTTATTTTGACGTTGTGCGACAGTAAAGTAATGGATCAACAGGGCTAGCAGTACTATAAAACCTGTTTGCTGAAGTCTTTTTAGCTTTAGTGTAACATACATGATTATCTCTCATGCCCTAGAACTCAGACTTAAGAATTATTTTCTCTTCAACACATTAATGTACTTAAATCAGTGAGTCCAAAGGACCAGAAAAATATATCAACACATTAAAACTAGTGAGTAAAAATTTTTCCATCTTTTTCCTTTTCTTTTATGGTTATATTACAGAAAGTCCATTTTGGCTTCTAGCTCATTTCCTGTTTCAAGGTCAAAATATTTCACAGTGAACTCGGTCTCCCCTACGATAAGATGTAAAACCGCTTCCCAGTAATCTGGCCATCCTTCTGGTGGAGGTATTACTGCTATCTCTCCAACCAGGCAGCACCCTTCCTCTTCTATACAATATTGAGGATCTTCTAGAGTAGATCTCCATAGTCCAATATATATAACATCATCTTTCATTTCTTGTTCGAAGGCTGCGCAGCTCACTGTGTATGTGAATGTTTGTCCATACTCTAGCATCTCGCCTTTTTGTATCACCTTGTTGAATACCTTGTCACAAAAAATGTCTCCATCAATAATAACCTTAAGATATTCTGGATCTCCATTCTCTATGAATGGCTGCTTCATGGCAAATCCATAGGTGAATCTTGACCTATGTTGTATGATGTTTTTAGGTTTCCAGCCCATCATCACTGCCCCATTTAATACAGCCAGTCTAGCATCATCTAAAAGGATAACTCTCATGTGACTGAACACTGACTGAATTTTCTCCCTTAGATATTGTGATTCACTGTAGCCACCAACTAAGATTATTGTTTCAATTTCACTATCCCCACAATGCTCCAGTATTTCAATCAACTTGACAATGATTCTGTCAACTGATGTTATAAATAGTTCCTCCAGCATCTGTTTGTTGATTTTAAGTCTAGCTTCAATGGAATGATATTCCAGTTTTCCAGTATATTTTGACTCTTTTATTATATCCTCTAAGCCTTTATTCATTTTATCTCTTAAGACATGCACCAGTGCATTTTCCATTTTCAGCTTCAATGAATCTGTGTCTGGTTTAAACTCTTTCTTTTTTGTTCTGAATTCATTTAGAAGGCTTACATAGGCTGACGAATAGTTTGAAGAAAATTCTGTCCATATTTCTTCTCCCATTAAATCTTTCATCATGTTAATAAAACATTTATCTACATCAATACCACCGACAAACTCTCCAGTTGTACGGTAGATTTCTTGAATTTTCCCACCCGCTATTGTTTCCTGAACACATATGTCTGATGTACCTCCACCAAGATCTGCAAGTATATATTGAAACCCATACGGTATTTCCTCAGGCATTATTCGGGGTGTACTGTATACAGCCGCAGCCTCTGGTTCAAGAACAAGTCGGAGACGTGATTGAACAATTCCTGCTTCAGTTGAAGCCTCTCGCATAAATTGACGCGCAGAATCAGATGATAACGCAGGAATAGTGATCATCCATTGAATATCCGTGTCCTGCAATCCGAACTTTGATTCATAAATGATTTTTAATGCTTCCTCTTTTAAATGTGCTATTGCGATGGCAAAAACTTTCATTGCCTTAAATGGTTTTCCACAGATATCTTTTATTTCCATTTTTCTTTTAATTCTACGTGCCTCATAAATTTTCATTTTAAAATTCTCAAAGTAGTAAAATTGGGATCTGTCACGTTCAGAAAGCTCAGAGAATTTAGTCTGTGCTTCGTATCCAAATGAATGGAATGATTTGTCTGGGTATAAAAGCAATACAGTGGGCACTCTGTCTTGCTGTAGCATTCCTCCATGTTGTGCTGACTTTATGTTTTCCTCGTAACCCCTAAAAGAGTATGCAAATCCTGAATGGACCGTCCCAAAATCTATGGCTGCCACAACAAGTGACTTCTGCAGTTCATGATTTTCTTGTATTTCTCTTTCAGCTTGGATCTTTGAGGGACCTGGTATTTCTGTCTGAGGTTGGCACTTTGACGTCCCAGGTATTTCATTCTTAGCTTGGATCTTTGAGGGACCTGGTATTTCTGTCTGAGGTTGGCTCTTTGACGTCCCAGGTATTTCTTTCTTAGCTTGGATCTTTGAGGTCCCTGGTATTTCTTTCTTTGGTTGACACTTTGAGGTCCCAGGTATTTCTGTCTGAGGTTGGCTGTTTGTGTTTCCAGTTGTTTGTTCAAAGTTAACAGTTGGTTGTATATTTGCACCCATAATTGTTGAATTTCATCTGATGGACATTGGTACATGTATATCTGAATTTAAAAAAAAAAAGATTTTCATATAATTATTATACCCCCACAAGCAAAGTATCTGGGGAGTGTCTGTGTTGCCGGGGTGGGACAGTGTAAAATGCTAGGGTGGGACACTGGTGCTAGGGTGGGACAGTGTTGCCGGGGAGGGAAGGTGTTGCTGGGGAGAGATAGTGTTGCCGGGAGGGACAGTGTTGCCAGGGAGGGACAGTGTTGCCAGGGAGGTACAGTGTTGCTGGGAAGGGACAGATTTGACTGGAAGGGACGGTGTTGCTGGGGAGGGACAGTGTTGCCGGGGAGGGATGGTGTTGCCAGGGAGGGACAGAGTTGCTGGGAAGGGACAGTGTTGCCAGGAGGGACAGTGTTGCTAGGGAGGGATGGTGTTGCTGGGAGGGACAGAGTTTCCGGGGAGGGAAAATGTTACCAGGGTAGGACAGTGTTGCTGGGGTGAGACGGTATTGCCTGGGTGGGGGAGGGGAGAGGATCAGGAAGTGATACAATTCATGCAGACATCTTTTATTTATAACATAGTTTACTAATTTGAAATCATTAGAAAGTTATCTTATCAGTAACAGACTAAATGCCATGATTGTTGCATATTTTAAAAATATTTTACATGTAAAGAAATGAATTGTTTTTATAATTAGTACTACACTGTATGTGTATAAGCTGGTGGCCTCATTATACAATAAACTTAAGTTTGAATTATTGTATTATTTTTCACCTTGATTTTGAATCAATTATTGCTTACCTTAGTTTTTCTTCATTTGTTTTTGTCATATATCACCAAAAACAATGTACTTAATTTTCCAAAACAGTTAAGACTTTTTCTTATTTAATAGTAAGTACTTTCACAGATTTGTAAATTTTCCCCCTTTCTTTCTATGTCTTTTATTTCAGACTTTGTTTCCAGTTTTTAAGTGTACAACATAAATAAAAATATTTGTAGGTTTGATAAGAATTCTGATGAATTGATAAATCAGTGAAATGTGCAGTATGATTGTTTGTTCAAGATAACCTTCTTATATCCTTTCTTTAATTTGTGATAGGTACACAAGTATCATAACATGAGCAATGTTTATAATGTTCTTGCACTTTCTCATATCTTCCTCATCCATCAAGTATTTTGAAAATTCAGAATATTGAGAAGACATGTCGTGGCGCAACAGCCAGATGCCTACCTCCAAGGTCAAGGTTACACTTGGATGTCAAAAGCTTAACATGGTCTGCAAAAGGGTATATTTTTTGTTCGGTCCATAACTTTTTCATTGTTCAGAGGATTTTGAAATTACTTGGCACAAATGTTCAAAATAATGGGATGACTTGTCTCTCTTATTATACCCAACACCCTACCCCTAACTACAAGGTCAAGGTCACACTTGGAGTAAGGTCAAAGCTTAACATAGTAGGATTTTGAAATTTCTTTGCAGTAATGTTCTCATTAATGGAAAGATGTGTCATGAGCAACACCCAGACCCCTACCTTCATGGTCAAGGTCACACTTGAAGGTCAAAGCTTAACATGGTCTGTCTGGTCTATAACATTTTTATCATTCAAGGGATTTTGAAATTACTTGTTCAAGGGATTTTGAAATTACTTTGCACAAATGTTCACAATAATGGGATGATGTGTCATGCGCAGCACACGGGGTCCCTACTTTAAGGTCAAGGTCACACTTGGGTCAAAGCTTAGCATGGTCTTTTGCACTGAAAGTCCTGATCTGTACCTCAATCTTTTGAAATAGCACAATTTTGTGCCTCATGTTAAAAACTTTGCTTAGGCGGCAGACTTTACTGTTACAAATTCATGTTATTCAACTGGTCAATAAATTTTCTATTGAAACTTTACTCATTCATTATTCTTTACATTATTAATGTAATTTAATCATGCATTGCCGGCCAAAGTTGAAATACAACTTTTCACAATCAGCTCCAGCCATACAACACATCAGAATACCCCATTCATACAATATCCCCCTATTTATCTAATATTTCACATATATATTTTCATAATAGAGAGAACCTGCTGTGTTAAGAGGACTTGATATAGGACCATGTGGGGAGAAATGGACTCCGGAATATCTGGCAGAGAAAGGCGGAGATAGAGAAGTAAAAATACACGTGTCCAAGACTGCCCAGATGGATTTTATCAACAAAAACTTCATGTATAGGTCAGAATATGTAATGATTTTATACATTTACTAGTATATAAACAAAACATGAAATTTTACCATCACAGGCTGATGAATCTTAAATGGATCATAGATATGAGCCGCGTCATGACAAAACCAACATAGTGCGTTTGAGACCAGCATAGATCCAGACTAGCCTGCACATCCGCGCAGTCTGATCAGGATCCATGCTGTTCTCTATCAGTTTCTCTACTTGTAATAGGGCTGGTAAGCGAACAGCATGGATCCTGATCAGACTGCACAGATGCGCAGGCTGGTCTGGATCCATGCTGGTCGCAAACCCATTATGTTGGTTTTGTCGTGACGCGGCTCAAATGTTTAACGTCTCTGACTTAAAACCACTTGCTGCTGTGGGTGAGAATCCCATCACATTCATGTGAGGAATCTTTTCAGCTAGTTCATGGAAGGTCAGTGGTTTCCACTTAGATGCCCGAGGTTGTCTGAAATAATGAATGTAGGGGCACCTGAGGTTTCCCGACAGAGGTAAACCTAGAATGTCGCCATATGTCCTGCAAATTGCAGTTATTGTGACTGAAAGAAACATTTGACATTTCATCAGACATGAACATAAATCAAACAAAACATTGAAAGCTATAGGCTTATTGCATATAATTGTATATAACATTACCAGGTTAAGTTTCATGTTAGTTTTTATGTAAGAAAACTCATTTTTATTTCAAGAGAAGATAAAGATAAAAAAGTTAAAATATGTGAATCACAACATTTCTAATGATACATCAGAAAGATATGGGCTTACTTTATATTACATTATCAGGCGGAGTTTAGGCTTTATATGGAATTACAATGCAATTATAAGACTCGTTTTTATTTCCAGATAAGATAAAGCCAAAAAATAGTTAAAATAGTGTACCTAACCATTTCTAAAAATACATCAGATATTTTAATAGCATTAAGATTATTGACATGTTGTTTCGCTTTGAACATTTGTTATATAAGTAAAATAGGTCTTGATTATGTTACCTTGAAAACAAGCAATGTCATGTGACAAAAATAATTTTTCAGAAACTTTCATGATATTCTTTGATGTCACTTGTGCATGATTAACACAATCAGTTTTTATGAAATTGTTCTTGCAGGTCATTACCTTTCAGTGAGCTCGTTAAAAGGGCTTCAAAGGCAAAACAAGAAGAGTTCTTCATAGAGGAGGTAAAAAAAGTGATTTATGAAATTTTAAAGATACATAAATATTACACATTAAAGCTAGTTTTTCACAGAATAAGTTGGAAAAAAAAAAAACATCGATTTTTTTAAAAATGCACAAAATTATCACAGGATATAGTTAGGACATTGTATACAATAGAATCTATAGCCATGAAAATGTTTTGGATTTGGGGAATAATAGTTAATACTATTGGATCAGTGTGATTATAAAATTTGATTGGTTGGGTTTTAAGTCATGCCAGTGCTGTTGACATGGTATGCTGACTTTCTAACCTTTCTGGTGAAGAAGGAAATCTTGTGTGTCTTTCCTACATTACTTTTAGACACAGAAGGCTTAAAGCAGACACAGTGTAGGTCATATTGCAATTTTCCAGCTTTAGTGCTGGAGGAAGATCTCAAGTGACCATTCGTGCATTATTTCTGTCACGAGCTGGCACCTGAGTAGAACCAATGACATTCTGTAAGCTAGCTGGATAGCTTACACACTTGAGAGAATTTATAGTCCCTGTTGGGATTCAAACCCCCAGCAGTGAGGGGCAAGTGGTATGAAGTCAAAGACCTTGACCACACTGCCACATACGTCCCTTAGCTCCTCTTGTAAGGTACATGTAGCTGGTTATTGGGTCAACAGAATTGAATTATATTGTTTTTGTCAAGGTGTGATTTTTAAGATGCGTGGGACTGATTTTTCCTCACGCTGTATCCCATCCAGAAGTAAGTTGTCCTGCTCAATTAAACCCTTCGTTACCATAGATACTGTAGAATTTGTATTAATGCAAATGGTGACTTTTTTTTTTTAACAGGATCATAAGGATAATTCTCAAAAGAAACAGTGTTGAATATTTTATCTAGATATTTTTGTAAATATACTTTTCTAACAGCCCTCGTATTTTGGCCTTTGGTAGAAACAAACCTCTGGACATGTGCTTCTGTTTGACCTTGATCCCTGATAATGTTTGTTTGTACAGGAAGGAAATAATTAGCTATATGCTTACAAGTATCTCGGGATATAAGGATCGAATTTTGAATGTCCCAGTGAGCTTACTATAACCAGAGTTTACTGTATGTCTGTCAACACATGTATATTTCATTGCAGACACCTGTCTGTAAGCTAGATCCTTCATAATTGTTAAAACCATTTGAAGTGTGTTCCATTTCGACCATAACCCATTTATTACCTTGATTTTCAAGATCAAGTTCAAAGTATTAAGGAAATTTCATTATTGTTTACAGACCTGGGGTCAAGGGTAATGTGTTAAACATGCTTCCCTTACCTCTACAGTACTTTAAAACATGCAAGCGAATGATTTATTTTATAAGTATAGAATGATGCCTTTAGAAAAAAAATATATATTTTGATACAGTATTATTTGTGTTTTCGTTTCCTTGCAGACGGAAAAATATTACTTACGTGCACTTGGAGACGACCCAAGAAAAGATATTGCCGATGTGAGAGTTCAATTTCCAACTCTTGCAGAAGATATAAAGTTTCCGGAATTCTATCCAAAGGAGAAATTTTTCTCCAGTGTATTCAGAATAGCCTCCCCTGGTTTACAATTGTGGACACACTATGACGTAAGTTTTTCCATTCCTTGATTAAAATGCAGTTTATTACTTCCTTGATGTTGTGTGGTTGAAGCTGTAGCTTAGTTTGTGTGGTTGAAGCTGTAGCTTAATTTGTTTGTTTGAAGCTGTAGCTTAGTTTGTGTGGTTGAAGCTGTAGCTTAGTTTGTGTGGTTGAAGCTGTAGCTTAGTTTGTGTCGTTGAAACTGTAGCTTAGTTTTTGTTGTTGAAGCTGTAGCTTAGTTTGTGTTTGAAGCTGTAGCTTAGTTTGTGTAGTTGAAGCTATAGCTTAGTTGTGTGGTTGGAGTTGCCCCTGTGGCTATGTGTTTGAATTTGTCCCTATGACTTTTTTTTTTAAATTGTAGCTAAATAGGCATGGTGGAAGTTATCCCTGTGAAATTACCAGCATCCATTAATTTTCATGTTTACTTTTGAAGTTTATGCCTTTGATAGTGTGGTAAAAGGTCACCAGTTTCCTGAAATATAAAAGTGTATTTTGTCCTTATTTGCACATTCATGAATTTTCATCATCATCATCATCATATTGAAAATGAAAGTGTTGTTGAATAAAGTAAAATATTCCTATTCAGAACTTACATATTTATTCATGTTAAACGATTTTGGGGAGATTGATTCATGATTATAAGAAAAAAGAAATGAAATGCAATAAATAATATTTCATTAATTACCCTTCATGATTTTAATAAGTGACTGTTTACAAAAATAATTGTCACAGAAAAAGAATTTCTGTCATTTTCTATAATCTTTATATCTGTAATTAACAAGTTAAGAAAACCAAGTTGAGATATGATTTTATATATTGCAGGTAATGGACAATTTTCTGATACAAATTCAAGGTAGAAAACGTGTGGTCCTCTTCAGTCCTAGGTCAGTCAACTTCCTGTACATGAATGGTGAGGAACTACTTTTTTTTGTGTGTTTGAATTCATACACTATTAACATTGGGACTACATTTTGATGACTTGCTCCCATATTGTCACTTTGGTATAGGTAGATGTGCACAGGAGGTCTTCCTGCACAAAAAATGCTGAAAGTCACCATAATTATGTCCTTTACAGAGGCGGTTTTACTTAAGTCAGAACTAAGAAAACAACAACGCAATTTCAGCAGTTTTAATGTTGATTATGTTTTTACCACCACTTCTTGAAAAGTACAAATGAGCCGCGCCATGACAAAATCAATGTAATGCGTTTGCGGCCAGCATGGATCCAGACCAGCTTGCGCATCCCCGCAGTCTGATCAGGATCCATGCTATTCGCTATCAGTTTCTCTACTTGTAATAGGGTTTGTAAGCGAACAACATTGATCCTGATCAGACTGCGCGGATGGGCAGGCTGGTCTGGATCCATGCTGGTCGCCAACGCATTATGTTGGTTTTGTCATGGAGCGGCTCAAATATATATGATGCAGTTTCTAAGGGAAAGAACAATTCACAGGTAGTATGCTTCATACAACGTGTGATTAAGCAACTTCGAAATAATTCTGAAATACAATGTATGTGAAAAAATGTTAGGTTAATTAAATTAATTATGATTTCTATAGGTGACAAGTCTGAGGTGTTGGACATAGACAATGTAGATGAAGTAAAATATCCATTGTTTAACAAGGCAGAAAGGTTTGAAGTTCACCTTGAACCTGGGGATGTTCTTTTTATACCAGGTATGGATTTTTATTATCTTTGTTTCTTTTTTTTTAGCGGATATAGTTGGCAGTTTGCGAGACATTTTGTCACATTTACCGTATAAGTACTTATTTCTGCGGTCTTAAAATTCTGCGATTTTCATTAAAATTAGGGGTCTTAAATTTCTGCGTTTCTTATTTCTGCGGTGCCATCATTCTCCCATTCAAGTGTTTTATTTCTGCGTTTAAATCATGATATTTGTATACAATTAACCAATAAACGGCATTTCAAGATTTGTTGATATGTCATTACTTTCGGTAAAAATGCAGACAACTGATAATGTGTTTCGTTGTAATCATCAATATACCGGTATTACGTAATGATTAAGAAAATAAGAACAACAAAATGCAATGACAACAATTTTAATACTTTATGTGTATAAATTTGAAGCATTCATGTATTTAACTATCTCATAGGTTCATTATAGTCCTTATATTCATTATATATATATTCATTATATTCCTTTCACAACAAATAAATCATGCATGACTGTATATACATTGAAAAGAATCTATGGAAAAACTTGCAAATGTTAGTCTCTTTCAACATGAATACTTGAACTTATAGCTTGGTAAACAACGTGTTGTTTTACAAGTGAAGATTATTTGCGGCGGAAGAAATTCGCCTGTAAGAAAAAAAATCAACACAATTTGAATAAAAGAATTTCAATCATTTCACTTAAGTGGACATTTACAGGTAAGTGTGAAAAATACACAATGGCAAATTCGCACATAACATAGTTGTACATAAAAGCATGTTTATTGCAGGTTTTAATGATAATATTAAACAATGGTCATTTTATCACGTTTTTGATAATGGTGTTGTTAAATATATTTTAAACTGAAAAACAGCGGTATTAACAACGATATACACTGCACATGAACACATTTTTTCTCACACAATTTTAATATTTATTTAGATTTACCTTGCAGTGTACCAGCAAATACGGTAGTGAATTGTCGTTTGTCTCCAAAGCCTGAGATTTCGACTCGTTTAGCACCTTCAACCTCCATATACTTTAGTCATTTTATTATATCAAATAATTCAAGCTTAGAGTGAGCGAAAATCATACCAACATGATATTTATTTTAACAAAAATAACAAGCAAATTAACGTTTTTTTTTATAATCTTTTATTCATGACAGAGAGAAAAATCTACTTATACCGTTAAAAGCCGATAACGATACATGATAATGGTTAGGTAATGTAGTTAGACATTACCGGTTGCTGAAATTCCGACACATGTATACATAAACAAAGCCGAGAAAGGCTTAATTTTCTGCGGTTTTTAAATCTGCGGTGTCGTAACGAACCGCAGAAATAGCAGAAATAAAGTTCCCGCAGAAAAAAGTACTTATACGGTACTTAATATGGTTTCACCCAGATCCCTTAGATTCCTTGCACCACAATCTTTTGATAGGGTTTAGGTTGAAAAAGATTCAAATGTTGTGGTTAAGAATAGATTATATTACGCTGACTACAATATGCTTTTTTCTCATTGGATGTTTGGCTGTCACATGGTGATCTAATATATACTATATTACACTACCTGAATATGTTGGCCAAGGTTAACATGCAAAATGACTGCCAGAATTGTTGATTCAACACTGTATCCATTGTTTGTCTTTGTTAAATGATGATGAAGGTAGTCATATAATAGTCCTTAGATACAAATGTACATAGCAAATAATTTGTCACCTTAGTGCAGTAACAGGTTAACTCCTATCAAATAGACTTACTCCAGAATATAGAACATTTTGGGGCTTTTCCCAGCTAAATCTTAAGGTACAAACAAACAGTTGCAGTTTCAAAATAAGTGCAACAGGTTGACTAATTTATTTTTACGAGTAGAGCACTATGAAGCTTTAATTGTAAAAGTTTCTTTGTACCTTGGGATTAGCTTAAAAACCCACATTTGCCGAGTTAGGGATAACATCTATTCTATAAGGATTTAATTTGTTACTGCACAATATGAACATATATTTGGTTTAATATTTTTAAGGAGATATTAAGGAGTAATTCAACTGTTACCCTATAATTTTGTATATTTCAGCTTTATGGTTCCACAATGTGATATCACTAGAATTTGGAGTGGCAGTTAATGTCTTCTGGAAACATTTAGATGACGGTGTATACGATAATAAAGATACATATGGAAACAAAGACCCTCTGCCAGCTAGCCGAGCATTCCAGATTGTGGACAGGGCTGTGAAAACGCTTGAAGAGTTACCAGAACCTTATCGAGAATTTTACGCTCGGCGACTTATAGACAGAATAGAGAAAAAAGCAGTGAACAATTTTCCAACCTGATTTGTTTAAAAGTTTTTGCTTAGAGATTATAAAACAAACTATGGTGAGGCTCAATTAAAAAAAACGCCCAGGACTGATCTTCCTGACGTAAAGAATATGATAAGGGGCTTGTTAGTTAACCTTATTATATATATGAAATATGGACACAACATTCTTCAATGTCTTAGGTGGGAGAAAAGTGTTTTCTTCATTAGGGTCCGAGGCAAAGTTTTGGGTCTTTCTTAAACACATTTTTTAAGGGACTTCAAAGAAAGCACAGCTAGCAATATATTATTGTACTTCAGTTATTTTCTAAAAATTGTTAATTTTTTTTTTTTATTGAGTGATCAGGCACTACAGTCATGTAATGTTAAACAGTTGTGTTTCATTTGTTTTTTTTAAAAGGATGACATCCATTTTCTGATAACCTATTTTTAAATAAGAAAATAATTATGCAAATAGTAGAGAGAAATGAGAAGGATGTAGATTTGTGTTCAGTTTGCTTATAGATTATGTAAAGGATATTAAATGAGTGTAGGTTCAAAACTGAATTTATTGGACGGTGTGTATAAAATTATATTATGTGAGCATCTTGTGAGCTTAATATTATTTCATTCAACAAGTTGAATGATTTCAGTAATGAATGTACACTAATTTAATATTCTAGTTGTCACATACCAGTTCCCAAAATAAAAACTGTTTAAAGTGAAAAAGGATCATTTTTTTCATTGAAGCACCTGTAGTGTAAGGCTATTATTTAATAAGGCTCAGCATTTTTGCACGTTTGTGTAGTGCAAATGATGTTACATTAAATTTATGCATGGCCATGCAATACCATTTTTATGGAGTCGCAAAAGCAGCATGGGTATGTAATTATGAGTATAGGAATAATTGACTAAATTTTGCTCTATTCCTGTGATAAATTATTGAATAAACAGAATTATAGTATGAATAGCTCTTTTATTTGGACAGAGAATTTTTTACTACTTATACTTACAGTGCCTCCTTATGTCATTAAGATCTCATTTTGGCTTGCGGAACGTTGGTGGTTCTTCTCAGGTGCCTGTTTGTGTCTGAAATGATGTACTGAAGGTCTTCCTCCACCAGTAAAGCTGGAATGTCGCCATATGACCTATACTGTGTCGGTGTGACGTAAAACCCAATCAAAATACAAAAAATATCCCTGGGTGTCAGTAACCTTTATTTATGATAACTTGCAATATGTGGAGAACTATAACACAGTCCTTACCATGTTAGATATCTTAAAATAGACTTGTCCATTTTTCAATCTGGACAAAACCATTAATCACTTTAGGGGATAAATTCAACATTGGAACAGACTGAACAGCAAACAGTACAGGCCATAATCAGATCACAAGGATGTACCAGCTAATTTTGGTCTGCACATGTCCCAGTGCAGTGTGTAGTCAGTTTTTAAGGTTTAAAGATCATGTAACACCATTTTTTATGGTTTTATATCATAAACATGATGCTCAAATTAAGATTTATCAATATTGTAAGTTCCAAAAAGCATTATTTATAAAGATATTAAAGAATTTAACATTTCATAAAAATAAATAAAGGGAGGTAATTAGAATTTTATTTACTATAAAAACCAAATAAAAGGCAAATATTTCAATAAGAAATGAATGCATATATTTAAATGATTACATATAATGTGGACAAATATTTGCAGTACATATTTTACATATTCTTTGATGTTTGAAAATTGTTTTAGAAGCATAATTATATACATGTATAAAATTTCACTTAAGTGTGGTATACAATCTCAATTATAACATACAGGATCTTTAAATCACTAGAGCACCTGTTACTATGTTATCCTGACGTCTCGCCTTGATTTCAATTATTTTCTCAGATTCTTTTGGTTCAAAGAAAGAACACCAACACTTGTTTTGACAAAAACATTTTTTATTTTCAATACATAACAATCAGGTAAACAAAAGTATAATGTTAACTTTAAACAAAAGTATAATGTTAACTTTAATGTGAATCTATCAAAACATGTTAGCATAATTTGTTAATATTCATAATTTAAAACTGACCTTCAAAATAAAACTGTTTTTAAAGAAGAAAAGAAATAGATTGTCCTTGCAATTAGTTTATGTTCACAATACAGTGTGTAAATATCTAGAAAACAGATTTCCTTATTTTTTAAAAAACCCAGAAACTTCAGATTTTTCACAAAAAAATTCTTAATAACTTCTTAATAGTCTTTTGACAGAGAAATAAAAACTCCACTAATGATACAGCTTAAAATGATGCTGTAACTGCAGTACCGACTCAAATTGAACTACCCTCAGATATCAGGATAATTTATTAAGATATAAATATAGCGGTGCCTTGAATATCATTATAAGGGGAGTTAACTATGGTATAACAACTTTTCTTTACCCACAGTAATGGACGTACTAAAGTTTATCAAGTTGCAGTATGGGCTAGTGGCTAACATAGCTGCCCAAGTAACCTAAGCATTTCTGGCTTTATGGGTTTAAACCTCGTCATTGTCAAGCCTTTGTATCCTTGAACAGGAAACAACAAAAGTTAATCAATTCTGTTTTGTTTTCAACAGGTCAGTGGTAAACCTTGTCCAATTTTAGTCATGGGTTTACTTAACATCGAATTTGGAACTTTTGTAAATAAAATGGAATTTAACTCATGATCACCTCCTATGGAAGCTTTTCATATAGCAATTATAACCTCCCCTGACTGCCATTTTGAGGGTCATTCCTAATATATTATATGCTTAATATAAACTATGATCCTACCATATCCATGCAACCTTATAAAAATCTTTTAAACAAGTGGTTTAATAGTATTTTCCTTTTTAAATGTATATCAGAATATGACTAATCACCTTAAGCTGGCTGTTTTTATTCCTTTTCTTCATACTTCTTTGATATAGCATATTGACCCACCTTCTCCCCCCCCCCCCCCCCAAAAATGGCTGCCACTTTTGGCAAGGGAGGTAAATCTTGTAAGAGTCCGGAACTATCACTGTATTTTATCACTTAATCTTCTTGTTAACACATATCTTTCACTTTGGCAAAGTTTTAAATAAGAAAAATAGTTATAACAAAACTTTTGACAACAGAGAAAAATTAAAAAAGGAGTATACATATATATTATAGAAATAAATATCAATGTAAAAAAGTTAAAATATATCACAAATTCTAAGAAGAAAAAACCTTTAAAAGTTTTATTCCACTAGGTCTTGACTTGTACTAATTACCCCAAAAAGAACATTATATATCAAAATAACATTAAAAATGCATCATATTTTTTGCTAAAAGAAGAAACCCTGTCAGTAAATGTTAACTAATTGCCGTAGTTTTAATGGCGGAAAGATCACAGATGACATAAAGTCTGTATTAGTAAGTGAGCTGTTTTTCTTGACATTCTTTCCAGACGTCGGCTGTTCTTCCTCGTCACGAATGCGTTTCACAAACAGCTCGGGTAGGTGTTGCATTCGCTCTTTTTGTTGCTGGAAATAAGAAAATTGACAAAAAACATTTAGTACAGAAAATGAAAATATAATCTCATGTTGGTTTAGATATGTGTAGACGATGTTTGAATATAGAGAATAGTTATTCTAATCCTGTCTAAATATAAGCAGGCCTTGGGGTTATAAACCTTTTTATTCCGAGTTCTGTCTCAACTCTCGGGATTTTTCATTGGTCAGTGTTCATAATGTGTGACAGTTTCTGACCAATCAAATACCTGAGATCTGAGTTTGAACTTTGAGAATTTCTTTATAACCTTTGAACATACAGCTGATTTCAAAATCTGATTATAAAAAAAAAAACAAGAACTGTCGGAGGACAGTAACGCTCGACTATTCGAAAATTTGTCACAAGGGTGTTTCATTGAGTATAATAATGCTTACCTATATGAATACATAAAATTGTCCGAAAAGGTACAAACTCTTCAAGTTTCAATACATTCCCTTCAGTAGTTATGGAGATACAAGCTTACATGCAAAAACTTAACCAAGAATTCATGAGTCGAAAAAGGGGCATAATTATGCAAAGAAGGAAATCAGAGTTATGGGACTTGTACCAATCATCTTAGATAATCACAGAGACCAAGTGTGTGAAGTTTCAATCCATTCCCTTCAGTAGTTATGGAGATACCAGCTTACACGCAAAAACTTAACCAAGAATTTCTAAGTCGAAAAAGGGGCATAATTATGTAAAAAACGCAAACCAGAGTTATGGGACTTGTGCCAATCATCTTAGATAATCACAGAGAACAAGTGTGTGAAGTTTCAATCCATTCCCTTCAGTAGTTATGGAGATACCAGCTTACATACAAAAACTTAACCAAGAATTTCTAAGTCGAAAAAGGGGCATAATTATGAAAAAAAGCAAATCAGAGTTATGGGACTTGTGCCAATCATCTTAGATAATCACAGAGAACAAGTGTGTGAAGTTTCAATCCATTCCCTTCAGTAGTTATGGAGATACCAGCTTACATACAAAAACTTAACCAAGAATTTCTAAGTCGAAAAAGGGGCATAATTATGAAAAAAAGCAAATCAGAGTTATGGGACTTGTGCCAATCATCTTAGATAATCACAGAGAACAAGTGTGTGAAGTTTCAATCCATTCCCTTCAGTAGTTATGGAGATACCAGCTTACATACAAAAACTTAACCACAGGGACGCCGACGCCGACAAATGGGTGACTGCATTAGCTCGATTATTCTGCGAATAGTCGAGCTAAAAATAAAAAAAAAAAGACATGATCACACATTTTATAATGACGGCAGTGAAAGAAGTAAAGTAACTGGTGTAATAAGTACTATCCTGAACCTAGTAGAAAGCCACTTTGTAAATTACGTCAGATTTAAAGGTTCGGAACATTTTTATTTTTTTACAATTAGTAAAACCAGAATACAAATAATAAAAGGTTTTCATTGCTTAATTTTGATATTCTATCCAGACATATACAGCAGTTTTCACAAAATGATTATATATTCATGATGTAAAAATTAAAGAATCTGAAAAATTATGATGAAAATTGTAATTATATCTTATGTAATTTTATGTCACATAATGAATGCTAAATTTCATGCCAAAAAAAAAAAGTACAAAGAAAGGTATGATTAATATAATTGTATACGCATGCACACACCAATCCAGCAAGGATGCTACATGTTTAAATGTGTAAATTTTAAAAAATTTATACACTAATATACAATGTACAATTTATAATATATACAGAACACCAGAAAAATGGACACTCCACAGCCGAGACTCAAATTTCAAGAATTATATGTACGACAAACCATTTTATAACTCATAAAATTTCCGATATGTGGGCACTTTTTTTTTTACACTAGTCCTAGGTAGAAAAAATCAAAAATTTGTTTTTGTATGGGCTTTTCTACAGCTTTTATTTAGATGTGAACTTGAAAACTGTTTTAGTTTAATTAGCATAGATAAAAGTGAAAATTGAAAAATAAATCCTGAATTTAGTATTTTGACAGATTTATTTCGATTTCTTTACTTTACATGACCTTTACTGCTTTACTAGTGAAAAAAGACCTCATGAGGTGCCCCTAGGTGCATTATTTAATTCACAGGCAAGCACACGAAGGCATGTAGATGCACTGACCTAAAGTAAGCTTACTTTAACACCTTTCTCAGATAAAAGTATCCCGGGTATCTTGCAAGATCAAACCCTCCAGGGAGAGGTCACTCTAAACATAGTACAACATTGACGGTGTTCAAACTTAATTATAACATATATATATAATGTGAATGCTAATAACTCTGAAATAGAGATAATAGAGATCATCCGGAACACGATAATTGTGGGCTTTCCCCATGAAATCCAAGGGTTACTTACAAACTTTTGCAATGGACCTTTCTGGTTTTTAACATTTAGCCACACCTTTTCCATTCATAGCTAGGTCAACTGCTCACAAACAGTATCACAAGCATAACCATATGGTATTTTGTGCAAACCAGGTCAACCAGTGACTATGTATTATCTCAGTGTAGCAAATGGATAACAAGTTAGCCAATTTACATAAAACTGTAAACTCAGGAAAGGTCCATTACAACTTGGTAAACATATCGATAATAAGTACAATGCCTTGATCACTCTATTGTCAACAGTAGTGCACCGAAAAGCTATAACAGTTAAGTTTCTTTGCACCCCTGGATAAGGTGGGGAAAAACTGACATTTACCAAGTACCGAGATAACAATATATCTTATCGGTGTGAGGATAATGTTTATATATTGTCGTGATAACAACATCCCAGATACCTTTCTCCTTTAATAATCTCTGATATATTTTATCAGACATAGTGTCCCGATATAATTTGTCGGCCATTTCTAGATTTTTCATGTATTTTGTAACCTTGAAAAACAGACACAGAGAATGAGTTAAGGAGTATTTTCACTTCAAAATGATCATGATGCAGTATCCGACAAGACAAAATAAATGAAGAACGACATATATGCCCCCCTTTCTAGCCCTTGACTCACATTATTGGTAATTTTGTTACAGAAACTTGCCATAAATGGGTACATGGAAGTGTTCAATTATGGAAAAAAGAAACATAATGAAGACTTTGTGATGCATAGTTTTTAAGATAATGGGCGGAAACCATTCTGACATTTAAGGCCCCTGTAACCTTGACCTTTGAACTAGTAACCCAAAATCAATAGGGATCATCTAATAGATATGACCAATCAATATTAGAAATAATTATGAAGACATTGTGATAAATAGCCTTCTAGATAATGAGAGGAAACCATACTAACATTCAAGAACCCTGTGACCTTGACCTTTGAGTAAGTGACCCCAAAATCAATAGAGGTCACTTACTAATGATGACCAATAAGTATGTAAAATATGAAGACTTTATGATAGATAGTTTTCAAGATAATAATAAACAGAAACCATTCTGACATTTAAGGTCACTGTGACTGTGACCTTTGAACTAATGACCCCAAATGCAATATGGGTCATCTGCTGGTTATGATCAATCACTATGTGAAATAAGAAGACTATGTGATAATTATCTTTCAAGATAATGAGCTGAAATCTTACTACCATTCAAGGACCCTGTGACCTTGACCTTTGACCTAGTGACCCCAAAATCAATAGGGATCATCTACCTTTTATGACCAATCAATATGTGAAATAAGAAGACTTTGTGATGAATTGTAACCAAGATAATGAGCTGACACCATTCTAACATTTAAGGCCCCTGTGACCTTGACCTTTGACCCCAAAATCAATGGGGAGCATCTACTAATTATGACCAATCACTATGTAAAATATGAAAACTTTGTGATCAATACTTTTCAAGATAATCAGCGGAAACCATTCTGACATTTAACGCCCCTGTGACCTTGACCTTTGACATAGTGACCCCAAAATCAATAAGGGTCATCTACTAGTTATAACCAATCACTATGTGAAATATGGAGACTTAGTGATGAATTTTTTTCAAGATAATAAGCAGAAACCATTCTGACATTTAAAACCCCTGTGACCTTTGAACTAATGACCCCAAAAGCATTATGGGTAATCTGCTGGTTATGAGCAATCACTATGTGAAATACGAAGACTATGTGATAAATAGTTATCAAGATAATCAGCGGAAACCATGTGGTCTACCGACAGACAGACTGACAGACCGAACAACATTAGCAAAACAATATACCTCCTCTTTTTCCAAGGGCGGCATAAAAATAATGATATGTTAAATCATGCTGTTATATCTATGAACCACTATCAGGATCATAACATGCAACAAATCTAGTCTTAAATTCTAAAACACAGAAAAAAAAACAACTACACATCAATCATTCATCAAATACTATTTGTTATGTTTCCATCATCTTTCATGCATTATGTTTTTGGCCTTTTTTTCCTTGATCTTAATATATTAAAATTCCCAAAATGGAAAAATAAAATGCTAAAGACATACTCAGTATAGTTCTTTCCTTAAAGTGGAATAGTGCATTTTCTATTTCTTTTCTAAACATATAAATATATAGGCAATTAATTAAAGATATCAATTAGGCATCAACGGTCAGCATTAATATATCAACATAGAGTACATGCTGTTATTTTTTTTACCACCCATCATCATGCAATACCTTAGGTTTTGGTCTGGCTGATTCTGCAGCTATCAGTGCAGGAATAAATCCTAACTTCTGATTGGTTAAAAATAAGTAATCATAGAAACTGTTTTATAACATCTCATTATTACAGTTTACAGTAAGTTAGTCTATCCCTTATAGAATAATAAACAGTCACGGTCCATTGTAAATTAATAACAAAATACTCAGCAGATGCATCAGGAATAAAGCATATTAAACTTTTAACCTTCTGAATCTCTGTAATGGACATATACCAAGCTACAATATTGAAACTGCCCCATTATTAATTTAAGGGATTATAATGAAGTGAAAATTTGAAGTTAACCAGCTATTATTGTACAGACAATTTATTTCATCGCGGCCTGTCTTCAAATTCTCAAAAGATTTGGCATTAAATTATAACCTTTAAATCTCAAAAAGTAAAGCATTGAATATGTAAGAATCATAAAATATCCTGAAAGAAAATCAATTTTGAAGATAATCAGTATTTCAAAATTTTATAAACTCAAACTGAATTTTAATTTGTTTTTGTATTTTTTCTTCTCACTTGCTTTCATGACTAAACAAAACACAAATATATAATTTTTTTCTCCCATTTACTTTCACAATTAAAGGTAAAACAAATATATGTATTTTTTACCATGCATACATTGTATACTATCACTATAAAAAAATTTTGTATGCACAAACTTCTGTAACATAACACTACTATCTTAACATATATATTTATATGTATGTACTAGATTACATGGGAGTATTAAATAATAGATGCAAGTCTACAAAAAAACCTATTGCCACTCTTAAATACCTAATTTCTCTGCTTTCCACATAGGCTTGAAACAAACAAAATATAAATGATTACAATGAATATTATTATAAGTCTGTAAATTCTTGAAAATGACTGACAGTAACATTTTTGTTATTTAATATGGAAATGTTCTTTGTTTAGCTATTTTTGTTGTTTTTTCCTCTGTTGATGGGCCTAGTAAAAGGACTTGTTTCCAATGGCTTAAAATATCTTTTTTTCAACCAATCTTATAAATAATCATGAAAAACTCACAAATTTGCTAACAACCAAGGTCTCCCTTGGTAAAGGAGGCAAATACCTGCAATACCAAGTCACTGGGGCCCTTGCAATCTAAATGAACATTATTCAAACTTGAAATAACTCAACTTTTTGTACCTTACTGTAACCTTTACATGTTCTTTATTTGTAGCATTACATTTCCCTTTCAAAACCAAACCAAATTGTATTATTAACTAATATTTATTAATGTATATATATACATGTATATAGCTTTTGTTTTGATGGACTGAATATAACCTTAGAATTAATCAATTATCCGGAAACCGGGTCTGTTAGTCTGTCTTGCAGACTGGTTAACCTGCAGATTTTAACATTTTTTTTGTCTTTTCTTCATGATCACTGTCCACCTAGCCTGTATAACTAACCAGCAATTACTAATTTCTCAGCTAGCGAAAGACTATTTAAGACACAGACACATGATTTCTGAATTAGCGGTGATAGACAAATGTCCACTGAGACTCTGACTGTCCCTTATCAATTACCACAGAGAAATTTTGCCTGGCATCCAAGGAGTGAACCAGCTACCTATTATAGTTACTCGAAAATATTTCAGAAACCATCTGGTGCTTAATATTTTATTCTCTTCTTCCCTTTTTTATTTTCAATCTGACTCGCTTGATGGATTATCTGTAAAAAAAAAACCCCAACGTCTTTTCATTAATTAGGTAATTTATCAAAATAAATACTTACAGATGTATATAAATGTAGTTTCTTCTTCACCAGGTGATAGTATTTACAGTATGTGTCATGTTCTTTTCTTATCTGCGGAATCTCGGTACGTGACTCTTTAGCAGGTGGTGGCGGCAGGGGGAATTCCCACTCGTAATGATCCCGCGAATCCAGATTGGCCACATGCGGTGATACTGAGTCTAAATATGGCAGGTGTAACTCCTCCTCCGAAATTCCCCGCCTCATTCTGAAATTGAAATGGTAATGTAAAGATCATGCCATATCTTTAGATCTTTAGACGAGCACGGGCGACTGTCAACGACAATCACGGAGACGAGAGTTAGCTCCCCTGTTTCTCTAACTTAAATTCATTAAAATTAAAAAAGTCTTATATAAAACGATTTTAAAACTAATGTCCCCTATAATGATATGTTACTACTCTTTTTCTATTTTTGAGCTTTAGAGCTAATTTCTTAGAGATTGCTTTTCTTTTATAAACAAGATTTCAACTTGCAATATTGTCCAAAATATAAAATTAAAGTGAATTGGTCAAAGGTGACTAAAATCCTATATATGTACGGGGAATTCAACATCTCCTTGTAGAATTTTAAAGATGCTGTAACTCAATTTCTTATGGTTTTATATCATAAATATAATGTTCAAACAAAGATTTATCAATATTATAAGTTCCAACAAGCAATTATCATAGTATTGCAAGCAATCCATAAGTCCCCTACCGGTTAGAACCCCAGCAACATTCTGATGGGCCATTGGCCATTCAATTTTACCAGTGGATGAATGACATGAATGAACTTAAATCTTTTGAGTTCTAAGTTTGTCTATATCACAGTAATGTCTTAAGTTTCCCTGCCTAGTAAGGAAATTATGTTTAAACAACCTTGTCATACTATTATGATGTGGGATTTTAAAGTAAATCCTATACGGAATGAAGAAATTGGAGTGAAAAATACCAATTTCTCGAAAAAAATCTAAGTTCAAGGGGGAGATAATTCTGGAAATAGTCTTGCTAGAGTATTTAACCTTCTCAAAAATGTTGAATGATAATAAGAAACATATATATGAAGTTTGAAGTAGATACATTAGGAAATAAAGAAGTTATTTAAAAAAGACAACATTTTTTTTCATAAAAATTCTAAGTTCAAGGGAGGTAATACTGATAATTTTTGTGCTAGAGTTGTAAACCTTGTCACTTATGATGTGGTTGATGGCCAGAAATTTATATTTAAAGTTTGAAGTAAACACCTTAAGAAATAAAGAACTTATAGTGAAAAAGCTGAAAAATTTAAATCAGAAATCTTGAAATTCAGGCAATTTGGTGCCATAGCAACCAGAATTTTCAACATAGGAAGAAAAGAAAAAGATGTGCATAATCTCCAGACTGCCATCTACCCATATTTTAAGTTTCATAAAAATATTTTCAGTACTTGTTGAGTTATCACTGGATCCAGTTTATGTGTTAAATTTGCCATATTTTCAGACTATTTGTTGCCATAGCAACCAGAATTTTCAACATAGGAAGAAAAGAAAAAAGCTGTGCATAATGTCCATACTGCCATCTATCCATATATCAAGTTTCATAAAAATATTTTCAGTACTTTTTGCGTTGTCGCGGGATCCAGTTTTGTGGACGGACGGACGGACTGACGGACAGACAGACAGACGGACGGACGGACGGAGGGTAAACCTAAAGTCCCCTCCGGTTAAACCGGTAGGGGTCTAAAAAGCATTATTTGTTAAGATATTACCGAATTTACATTTCATGTGAATCAAGGGAGGTAATTAGAAACTTATTTTCAATAAAGTCTAAGTCAAATTTTTCAATAAGAAATGAATGCATATATTTAAATGACTACATATTATGTGGACAAATATTTGCAGTACTTTTAATATTTTTCGATGTTTGAAAATTGTCTTAGAAGCATAATTATATACATATATAAAATTTCACTTAAGTGTGGTAACAACCGTAATTACAACATACAAGATCTTCAAGCTACACTAAATGTTACAAGCAGAGTTAATGTAGTGAATGAACAGAACAATACCTATGAGGTAGACCATGAGGGTCAAGGTCACTACTATCTGGGCGTATCATCTTGTGAGTTCTATGTTGTGCTATACGTTGTGGCGGGTGTACACGATCTTTAACCGTCGGTACACCTGTGGTCCACTGCATTTGTAAAATACCGTAATTACTCAAACCAGCATCCCTGTAACAACGAAAAAAAGTAACAGTATAAAATGAAAGGAAAATAGAACGAAAAAAGGCCGGGACACAGTACAATGGCCGGTATAAGTGGTGCCTTGTTGAAAGCGATCTCATTATAAGTGGAGTAGACTGAGTTTCAATACAATTTTTTTGGTGTAGTTTGTTAAGATTTATGTGAGTCCAAGTCGCTGAAAAAATTAAATAAATGTACAAGAAAGGCAGTAGGGATAACAAAAATTTCCAACAGGAGCAGGCCCGAACCTGTTCTCAAATGTATGAAAAAAATACCATGCAGCAACAATTCACATATTTTCGTTTTTACTTTTTAATTTATTACTTCGTAATAGACTTGCTTCATAATACTCTAGAAGTTAACTCACTCATTCCTCAAATCCAAGCATGCAATGGCCGGTTGGCTTTCACATTGCCCAAACAAAGTATAGGTCAAAATTTTGTGACTTTCCAGATTTACTAGTGAAGGAAGACCTCAGGTGTCCTTCCGTGCATTATTTTAGGCACAAACGATCACATGAGTAGAATCATCAACATTCCGTAAGCTACCTAGATAGCTTCCTCACATGCAAAAATCCCAAGTCCCTGTCAGGATTATAACCCACAGAAGTAAGGGGCAAGTGGATTTAAGTCCATGACCGTAACCAGTTGGCCGCAGTCTTCGTTAAATCATAAAACAGTTTCAATAACAAAAAGTTAACTTACTCATTCTGGGTATGCACTGCTAGTTTTCCTGGCACGGACTCGATTCTATGACGACCATCCCCAGGTACTTGCATCTGAAACAAGTAAATAAATACTAATATTGTAATACAACTTATTATATCTCAGGAAAAAATTATGAATAAATAAAAAAATAAATAATGGTTGTAAAGTGAACATATAAGTTGTTAACCCGTTACTACACTAAGGTGACAATATGTTCCAAGGCTGAAGACTTAGTAAGCTGCATATGAAGAAAACCTTGAAACATCCCCATAAAAATATGCTTAAATATCCCCTTACTCTAACCTTATAATATAGCTAATACGTCACTGAAATTATATCAAAAATATTTCAATTAACAAAAAAACCAAAAGAAAACAAAGAATAATAATAGAAGAAAATAAAAATGCTCTTACTTTTTCCCCTACTCTAACAGTTTTCAGTAACCTGGTACCAGCCTCACCTGGTAACATCGGCAAATCTTCCGCGAAGTACGATATCGGTGGTAAAGTTGAGTGCCGAAGTTTACCTTGCTCCATTTCTCGTCGGATCTGTTCCATCTGTCGTCTCTCCTGTGCATTCGGTATCATGTCGAAAAATTTACGCCAATCTGAATGCACACAAAATTCACACGAATTACAAAGAAAGAATTTTTTAAGTGCTGAATATTATGTTTCTTTGATATTAGCATTACATGTTAATTATATTTCTGAAGTTTACAACACCTGAGGTTAGCCAAAATCATCTTTCCAGTTTCCGCCATATGACCTAAACTGCATGTGTTGGTGTGCAGTAAAACATCAAAAACAGCAAAAAAAAAAAAACCTCTATATTTTTACAGGCCAAAGAAATCCAAAAATTTCAGATGTCTGCTTCAACATTGTTTAGTAAGACTCAAACCCATGGCAGCAAGGGGCCAAGTGGGACTATAAATGATCTAGCCTAATTAATTTAGCATGAAGGGTATGAGCCATTTTACAGACTGTTTTTTTCTTTCTTCATACTGTCAAACAATTGGAAAATACATCGCCCGGCCAAAATTATCTCGATGTCTCTTTGACAAGTGCAAATAATTGGACATACAAAATGATCATAGACATATAGAAAAGTCGTACCTTTTGGACTGTAAAGTTGTAGATGAGGGGGTGGACTTCCAGGCTCGGATTTAACGGGAGACAGTGGGGCATGTTGGTGGCCTAAAAAATAAAATAAACCATAATCAAAAATAGATTAAGATATGATTATTAACAAGTTATATGTATAATTAAACTTTCAGAAAGTTAAACTGGAAATGAAACTCATTTACAAATATTTCCAGTAAGAATTCTTTTCGCATTCTAAAATTCCAATGCAAATATTTGCTTATACATGTATTTGGCCTTATTTACTTTCATGGCCTCAAAAATTTGTATTGTAAGATACATTGTTGCAATAATCTATTTATTATTTGCTTCAAACAACTCTGATAATGCTGGGAAAAAAAAACTACCCCCCCACACCCCCCTAATTTCATGTACCCAAATGGTGATTTTTGATGTTACACCATCAATCGAGTATCCCTTTCAGTTGTTATTAATTATAGTTTAAAGCCTTGTGTTTTTATTAAAAAATAAAACAATAAATTTTTATAATGAAACTGGAGTTGATTTCTATATTTCAGCTTACATAGTTTAAAGCATTGAAATTTAAAAAAACATACAGGCCTAGACATTAACTTTTGAATCAGGTTGTCCTGTCGGGCAAGTAGTTTTTAAAACTACTTGCCCGTGACCTAAGACTTACTTGTCCTGACCTAAAAATGGTAAAAATGTATAAATCAGAAAAACAAACAAGCTCATAAATATTTTTTGTATTTAGTAGTTTTTCTAAAACATCGGTTCATCTGTTTATTCAATGTGAATATACTACGGTCATGTACATTTGTTGATATAGGAAACGGAAGGAAAAATATGAGCATGCGCCGCGGGGATAAGGAAATTTCCCGTTCAATCATCAAGTCAACAGCCGTAAACGAGTCTTCGTTTACTAAGTTCATAATGTTGTTATATTAGATTAAACAATAAATCATTTTTAATGCAAAAAACTTTTATTTAACAATTATATTTAAAGATCATATGATTATCTACATATTTTCAATGATATCTTTACATGCAAACATCAAAAATTTAAACAACAGCATAACCCGGGAATTACCTTGTACAAAATTAGATATAGTCTATTATTAGAACACAGAGAATTACCTTACCGCGGCGCATGCTCATATTTTTGCTTCCGTTTCCTATATCAACAAATGTACATGACCGTAGTATATTTACATTATTGATAATAATTCATGGTGTATTTTTGTTTTAAAGATGTTTATAAATGAAAAGATGTTATTTCTATTCATTTTGTACATGCATTTTGTCAATGATGCTTTTTATTTTCACTTGCCCTGTCGGACAAGTGCTTTTCAAAATAACTTGCCCGGACCAAACTTTTAGTTGTCCCGGGCAGTCGGACAACCGTTAATGTCGAGCCCTGACATATAATCATTGTGGTAATAAAATGTACAAATGAGCCGCAGCATGACAAAACCAACATAATGGGTTTGCGACCAGCATGGATCCAGACCAGCCTGCGCATCCGTGCAGTCTGATCAGGATCCATGCTGTTCGCTATCAGTTTCTCTACTTGTAATACTGGGTTTGTAAGCAAACAGCATGGATCCTGATCAGGTTGCGCTTATGCGCAGGCTGGTCTGGATCCATGCTGGTCGCAAACCCATTATGTTGGTTTTGTCATGACGCGGCTCAAATGAAGAATAATGGTTTGTGCATATTATACTGATAATACCTGATTTACAAGTGGTCCAAATCCCCTGCTTCTTATAGCCGAATCCTGCTATTTCATCTGGGTGAAATATCACATGTATGAATTGTGATGTGATTATCCATGATATTTCATGAAAAGTGTTGTGATGTTCAATGATTTACATACTATTTTTAGTTAAAATTTATTTACCTTTGCCAATTGGTCGTCCATGGCTAAATTCTGACATATCTTTGGCTATTCCAGAACTGTACCCACTCAATCTGTCAGTGATCTGTAATAATGGAAATGTTCACCCAATTGTTAAAGTATGAATCACTCAAATGCTCCTAAAGCTGATTTACCAGTACAGGGGCCTGAGGAAACATTACCCTTGGAAAACTAATACAGAGTAGGTAATTTTCACGATGACGTTGTCCATATACATGTAGCCGACAGGTTTACTGGCAAATCAATCTTGCCCATTAAAAATTGACTATTATTTCAAGTTAATTTGTTTAATATTATTTCAAACATTTTTTTAAACAAAAATCAACAATTTGTTTAACTATCACGGATAACAGTATTTTGATAAGACTTCTTCTAATGCCTATCTATAAAAACCGATTTGATTGCATGGCTAAAAATAGCTTTCTCAGGAAAACCAAATTATAAAGATGGCTAAACATATATGGGCATCATAAGTTCTACATATGGAAGAAATAAGTAGATCTGATCTATAGTCAGATTGAGGAAACAGGTAGCCCATGAGCCTTACATGGGCCACAGCCAATAAAATTAGAAACCGCATCGCTTTTAAAATAGTGAAAGCTTGCCAATGATTGGTTGTTAGAAAGACCACGAGAAGGTGACTGCCTACGGGTGAATGTAAGATCCTAGTGCGTAGCGTAATTTAGAAGCTGATTTCAATAAGATTGCCTCTTTCCTGTATTTAATGGAGGTATAATAAAACTAGACATTTTTAGCATGTGCATTGATCAGTCAAATGATACATTATTCAGGTAATACACATGAAGATCTATCCTTTAATGCCTCGAGTTTATCATCATTGGGGGAAAAAAATCTTCAAAGCAAGGGCAATAACTCTGTCTCTAAGCAAGGGCAATAACTCTGTCTCTAAGCAAGGGCAATAACTCCTGTTTCTATCATTCTGATTTCAGCAATTTATCAACTAAAACTGGGAAATGTTAAAAGATTATGCTTATAATGCACAGAGACCTTGTCCTACTAATGACCTTGACCTAATTAAAGTATCATATACTAGAGTACCTGATTGCCTTGTTCATCATAAAACACAAGTTGCTGTGAACTGTCATACATTGGATCTCTACGTAAAGCTCTCTCAAGCTTTACGCGATTATATTCCCTGATTTTTGGCAACACTTCCAGAATTAAGTCCCTTTCCCGACTTAAATCAGAATTTATACTTTTGGTTGAATCATTTGTTTTACGAGACAGATGGGTAATTTTTGAATTATTTGATTTCTTTGTTGCGTGACTACATTTAGTTTGTTTTGATTTTGTAGTCTTTAATGTTTTCTGCGTCTTCGTAGTGCGAGCCGATTGTCGTGAACCGAAACCTGAATCTCCAAGATCCGGGAGTGATTTGATCGATGATATTGACTTTGGTTCCTGAACTTCCATCTCAACTTGTAGTTTAGATCATGGACTAATATCAACTTAACTTGAACTTTCGCGTGTTTTTTCTGTCAATTCTGTACTCAAATTTTGATACTTGCACAGTTACAACTTTACCACTTTGGTTGGAGGTATTTTAATTTTCCAGTTGTATCAGTTTTATATACTATTTGACCATTTCAAAAAGTTCACCTAGCACTGATTCTGACAAAACGAAGTCATTGTTTTGGTATATGAATTATTCTAATAAAACTATGATGTATTTAGTACAAGCCTGAATCCTTTGGTCAAAATAACTTTAAACTTTATTTCCCTGACTTTACAGGGAATCAAGAAATATTATTCTTTTGTTTTATATACAAACTACTATAAGCTATTCCAATATTTCTTACTCCAAAATATGTTTAATTGTTTTCTACTACTCCATATGAAGCATAAACAAGTATTCCTTTCTACTACTCCATATGAAGCATAAACAAGTATTCCTTTCTACTACTCCATATGAAGCATAAACAAGTATTCCTTTCACATTTTTTGGTCAATCTAATTTTCAAAACATTTAAAACTTCAAATTCTCTTGCAAGTGTATTTTAAATTTTAATTAATATATACATTTTACACATTTTTTATGTATACTCCATTTCTAGTGTGTTGTTTTTCACAAATATAATATAAATTAAATTTAGATTTATAACAGAAAAATTGGTATTGTTATTAATTTTTCATTTCACTATTTCTTCCATTTGAAATAAAATTTCACCCAATCTTTTTTTCCAAACATTCTTTAAAAGCCTTTTAAATGTACTTAATAAATAAACTTCTTTTATTCTAAAGATTTACTATTGAGATTCGAATTTAAAAAGACAAAAAAAACAAAAGAACTGAAATAGTAAAAAAATATCAGCAAATTAAATTCATTGAACCCTGGGAGCATTACCAGGCATGGCCAGTTACATGGTGGTTCCAATTTCACTAAAACAAAAGGACAATTACTATTCTTAAATCCCTTATCAGGATTATCAGATACATTCACAATCTGGAAATCTAAAACTTCTGTTTAAATGTTTTTCTGGGCCAAAGGTTGTGGGATTATCTTAATAGAAAGTTATTGTTTTTACGCATGTATAAAATTTCAGATAAAAGTGTAAAAATGATATTCAATGTTATATATATATATATATATTTTGGAGGGTAAAAAGTCAAGGTTGTGTGGCAAAAGTCCAGCTGTTTAAACTTGTGCAAAACATGACCCAAGTTATGGTTATGAGAGATAGTTAATTAATAAATACGTACATGAATATAGTCAATTAATGAATATGTACATGAGAATAGTCAATAAATAAATATGTAGATGAATATAGTCAATTAATAAATATGTACATATGTACATGAGTATAGTCAATTAATAAAGTGTACAAATCTATAGTTAATTAATTAAGTGTAAATGAGTAGTCAATTAATAAAGTGTACATGAGTATAGTCTATTAATAAATATGTACATGAGTAAAGTCAATTAATCAATATGTACATGAGTATAGTCAATAAATAAATATGTAGATGAGTATAGTTAATTAATAAATATGTACATGAGTATAGTCAATAAATAAATATGTACATGAGTATAGTTAATTAATAAATATGTACATGAGTATAGTCAATAAATAAATATGTACATGAGTATAGTTAATTAATAAATATGTACATGAGTATAGTCAATTAATCAATATGTACATGAGTATAGTCAATTAATAAATAAATATGTAGATGAATATAGTCAATTAATAAATATACACATATGTATATCAATTAATAAAGTGTACAAATCTATAGTTAATTAACTAAGTGTAAATGAGTAGTCAATTAATAAAGTGTACACGAGTATAGTTAATTAATAAATATGTACATGAGTATAATAGTCTATTAATAAATATGTACATGAGTATAGTAAATAAATAGTAGTAGTAGTTATTTTTTTTTTATCTAAAACCTACTTTTTAATTTAAAGATAACATAATAAAAGAAATAGTTGAAGTTGCATCAAAGATTTTAAAAAAAATGCAAAGAATTCTTACATCAAATCCTCCTAAATTCAAGCAAAATATTCCTCTAAGTAATCAATCTATCAAATCAGTCAATTTATCTTCTATGATTAAAATATGTCACATGGAACTAAAAAGTTACAAATTTCAATTAGCGAAGTCAACAGGTTTTATCTGCCGATAATCCACGACCAACTTACACGGGTTTAATTCTTTACTCTAAATATGGAATTAGGATAAGTGGCATAAACTTTCCATAATTGAATTTTCAATCTTAAAATGTAATTCCTATAATCCCTTAAATTGATCTTTTTAAAAATTTGTTTATTTTTGACATAAGTGATTTGCGATGAGGCACGCACTTTTAGGTATATATAAATTCTTTATTGGGTCAAGTTTTTTCACCTACACTGACACTGTTCATATGAAAGGTGATCATAATGAAAATAACATTCCAGCTTTTTCACTGGTATATAGGAAATACCCTTGTTGCCATTTCAAGAATTATTTTAGATTAAAATTTAAATCCTTTAATGTCTTATATTGATCTTTAAAAGAAAGTTTGGTTGTGTGTTTTTATGACAAATGAGTTGTGAGGAGACAAGCACTTTTAGATGTTTTCTTTTTAGGTCTTAAATTTGTCACTCATGAAGGAATACTATTTGGAATTTGACGGCCCTTTTGATATTATTTCAAGACGCATATTGACACCTGGGTAGAATAACTGACTGTTAGTAGAATAACAGACCTCTAGTCTGCTTGCTATCTTGATAGATTCTTTTAGTATGAATTTAAAGATACTGTTGGGATTGATGCCCAAGTTTGAGTTTTTTGTTTTACAACGCATCAACACAATTTAGGTCATATGGCGCCCAAACAGGAAAAAATGATTTTGCAGATGATTTTTTACAAACAAAGCACAACACCAATGGATGAAAACCATTAACCACCTGCTGAGTAAGTAAGAGATGCAACTACGAACTCCAGTACATTATGAACTCAATAATATAGATTGCCTCTTTTAACTAATCATGCAGGGATCAACAATGACTGCAATTCTAGATACTCTTACCCTTTAAAAGGCACCATAAGCCACAAATGTGGGGGGGGGGGGGAATTATTTGAAAATCAGAATGGTTTAAATCTTCACACATTTGTTCTCTGTGATTATCTAACACAATAAGCACAGGACCCATAACTCCAAAATTATCTTTGTACAGAGTCATGTCCCTTTTCTTACTGTCAAATACTGAGAATAGTTTAGTGCTTTTTCTAACAAACAGCTCTTGTTATTGCAACAATTACAAGAAATTCTGCACTGTAGGTTTGAGCAGTATGAGGCATGATTCCCAGACTTGGCTTGATTGTTTTGAGTCTGTTATACATAGAAGTAAAATTGAATTTAAATAAAAAAAATTCTACGGTCACTTACCTGACTACTTTTAATATCAGATATTGCATTAAATCCTGAATCTTTGTTCTGTACACTACCATGTGATGATTGTGACTCTGTCTCCTCTATAAACACAAAATAAAGAAATCATGATATAAAAAATATATAAACAATAAATTGTTGATTTAAACTCTAAGTGTTATCCAGGATCATATTGGTACAACATTGATATAAACAAGATAATTTGATTTAACAGTGAAAGTTTAGGACATTGAATTTAATTTTTTTTTCACCAATGTATTATGCATTATATGCAAGTGAAATAACTGTAGACTACAAAAAAAATAAATTGAAAAAAAATAAATAAAAAAAATATGTTTAATAATGATGAATCTGGATCTTTGATTCATTACACAAGCTAGTAAGTTAGGACAAATTCTTGAAAAAATAAACACTCATATTTAAAGATCTACACAAAATGATAATTTTCATCCATTCAATTTTTTAATTGTTAGCGCTTTTGAACATAACTATTATTCTAAACACATATTATATACATTACCAGTATTCACATACGCACATGCATTTGAAGATTACGATCATATTAAATTACATCATATTAAAGACATTACATCAGAAGTACAAACCTTAATAATAATCAAGCAGTTTTAAGATAAATCGGAAAAGCCGCTTAATATTGATTACTACACTCAGATCAATCTGCCCTATATCAAAGGAAATTCTCTTAATATCTGATTTATAAGAAACCCTTAACAGCTGTCAATGTAATACCCTGCCGGAGGAGACCGAAAAGATTTCCAAAAGATTTCTCTTTAAAATACAACAGAGCCAGTGCCAGCAGCTTAATAAGATACCTATGCATCACATTAACAGAGCCTCTATATTACTACTGTTTAAGCTCAATATTTTTCGTTTATAATTTTGATCTTGAAATCGCTTCTAAGAACTTTAATATGGAACATGATTCTATAATTCATAAGCTAGGCAGTCCCATTAGACGCACTTATAAATTCAAGGTTGAGTGCATGCTATCCATTGATGTATTAGCGAGATAGTTTATCGATACTGGCTCTAATGGGATCAAACACACTAGCGTATGTTCAATTATGCTCATGAAGAGAACATGTACGTAGCATGTATTTAGTATTCTTAATAAAACTTATTATGTTCATTCATTCCACTAGAATAAGCAAGATTCATAGAAATATTATTCTGTAATTCTATAGCTCTATGTTTCTAAGGTTGATTAACATGTGCTTTTGCTAAGAACTTGTTATTAATAAATGATGATAAGACAATGTAAGTTGTTATAAATTTAGTGTAGGATAAATCATTTCGCACAATCATACTTCTTCCCTTTCATTTGTTTTAATACAACTGTAATGTGCAATCCATGTTGCACAGACAAGATTATACTGTAAGAAAGGTTGCAGAATAATCGAGATAGCAAAACCAAGAAAGCTCGAGGTATTGTACCAGCACCATTACTTGACTGGTGGAGGAAGACTTCCAGTGCTCCCTACCTTACATTATTTAGGCAGTAGCCTGTTATAGAGTTAGAGGAACAAATTTTGATGTACCATATATTTGTGGGATTTCAAACAACAGTTGCAAGCTTGACAAATAACGAGGATCATTGGATGCAGCACTATTAAGTGTTGAGAATTGGCTAGAGATCAAGCCGTGCTAAGGCGCGTGAGGGTGTTTCGACAAATTATTCATTATAACCTCATGTACAGACTCAATCAAACCGAGTCTGCAATTCATATGTAATTTTGTTGTGATTAATGCTTCCGAGGGATCACTTTGTTTCCAGTTTTTTTTTTACTACTTCTCATAAGAAAAAGATATGTTCCAAAAACATATAAAATGAGCCTAAATAATAAAGTCCTTCCTTTCTACCTAAATGTTCTCATAGAAAGAAAATAAAGAATTATCATTAAAGATGTAAACAAATATAAGATTCTTATTTTGAAAATAAAAATTGAAATTGTAATTATTATATTATTTTATTACACTTGCAAGTAACACAGTACTTAGCAACTACAGACTAAATGAACATAATTTCAACATCACAAGTCTTTGTACAGAATCAATCAAAGCGAATCTGCAATTTTCATGTATTTTTGCTGTTTTTAATGCTCTATAAAGTTCCAGATATTTTTACTGTACTGTTAATACAATTGAAAGATTAAGTAGTTTTTCTACTGATAATATATGACAGTGCATTTCAATATTAATTTTGTAAAACTACTGAAATAATAATAATATTAGCCGTGCCATGACAAAACCAACATAATGGGTTTGCGACCAGCATGGATCCAGACCAGCCTGCGCATCCGCGCAGTCTGATCAGGATCCATGCTGTTCGCTTACTAACCCTATTACTGAAACAGACATGGGATTCTTGCATCAGACTGCGCGATGCGCAGGCTGGTCTGGATCCATTGTCGCAACGCACCTATGGTGGTTTTGTCATGGGGCGGCTCATATAGTTATGTTTTCTGTCTACTGTCACTTCAATGTCATAGATGAGGCTTAGAGATTCTACAGGATAGAACATCTAGTTATAAAGGTTGGATTTAATTGAGTCAGCAGATTTTAAAAGTCAGAATAGAGACACAAGAGTGAGTCATTTACAAACCTACTTTTACTAAGAATATGAAAAGGAAAGATTTATTTAACCTCAGACAACGAGGAAAGTAATACATTATTCAGTTAACATATCGTACAACCCGATAGGGTGGCAGTTGTATACGATGATTAAGATTCTTAATCTTAAATTTCAAAAGTGAGTTAACCAGTTATTGCAGCATAATAAAGACAATCAGAATAATCATAAAGAAAGGGCCGGTGTAAGATGATTATCAACGAACAATGATTCATGAATTACTATCATACACAAGAAGCCGGTTTGGTACCCGGTGATGCTCGCCCGTATAGGTTTTCTAGGACACAGAAAAGTATAAAGTCCTATTGCAGTTTTCAGAGTTATCTCTCGGACAAGAGTTAAAGTGCAATAATTCCAAACTTAGGAGCAAGACAGTGTTATGTCGCAGGACAAAGTTCAAAAATGTTAATATGCAGAAAGGGCAATAACTCCAAAATTAGGCAAGGCAGAGTTACGGTTCTTTTGCACACTGCACTTTCTACCCAAATGAGATCTATCTACCTCACAAGTTTATTTTATTGATACCTCTTGTTGTTTTTAGAATTATGCCCTGGACAAAGAAGGTCGCAGACAGACAGACAAAATGGCAACTCATATGCTCACGCAGCTGATAGGCAGGGGAGCATAAAAAGAAAGAGCTCTAGGTAGAATGAATAGGGAAGGAAGGTTTTCAGATGATCCTTAGCCCAGAATGATGAATTCATGAGTTATAGTTCATCAGTTAAAAAGTAAACCTAAAGATGATGAGGGTGGGCACAGTAAACCGATAATTAAGATGAAAGAGGACATGCTATATATAAGGCTGAGAGCCATAGAGAATTAGGAGCTAGATAATTTATTATTGATCAATCAGATCTGTATAAAACAACCATCAGCTACATAGGATTTGACCAGCTAAAGCATCTGTGAGTAAGAACAGAAATTTTTGGATAGACAAAGAGCAAATTCTAAAGGTGTGTAGGACACTATTTAAACAACATTGAATGACCAACATTCGGTACAAACATCATAATAGAGACTGCGAGTCTTTTATTGAAAAGTTGCAAAGCTGTGTTCACATTAAAAAATATATCTTTTTGAGTAAAATATAATTTCATTTTTTATATTTTATTTTAATATTTCCACACTATATTAACTAGCATCCGACAAAATGTAGTATAACAAGATGTCTTCTCTTTAGTTACAGGGAAGATTTAATCATTTGATATAGATAGCTTATTTAAAACAGGAAAAAATACAATGAATATTAGCAATTTAAAGAGAGAAAATACTTATATTAATTTTCTTTATACTTACTGAAGATTTCTTGTTTAATACCGAACATACGGAGATTAGGATCCCTACGCATCTTGCTTAAACTGTCATAAGTTACTGTGTATACATTATTGGCGGATCAACCTCTGGTGCTCACACACCTAAAAATATAGCAATATAAGTCAAAATAAACAATAACAATTAATAAATAAATGTAACTGGACTTATGTTTCTGAGAGTTTTGTTTAATTTCAGTTGCTTTTTTTTTTTCACACACCAATTTTAACATATTTTTGTTTGTATCTAGGCAGTGATCTAACTGTTTTTTTCTGGATAACTTACCAACTTCTCCACAAGTAAACAACTACTTATCCAACATGATTTCAGAATCAGCAAGGATAGACAAATGGCCATTAGACTAATAAATGTCTGAAATTTACTGTCACTGAGAAATTACGCAAACCAGTAACCCCTGGACTACTATAATCCGATGCTCTCCCTAGTGAGAGGAGCAGGCAATAACCAAAATAGTCAATATATAAAAAAGGAACAATTTTTAAGTTTCAAAAATCAATTATTTCAACCTCAGCAAAACACTGAGTCTGTAAATGGGATTGTTGATGTAACAATATTACCGATATCCCTTTCCCATCAAGAACCGAAAGTGATTAGCCTTAACCATTGGTATCAAGACAAGCCAAGTCTGCAACACAATCTGAGTGTCAAAGGCTTATAAAATCCATTCTCAATTCAAAGCAGGGTGAATGGATTTAACAACACTTTCAAACAATTTAATACATACTAAGAACATGTATGATTAGTCATAGTGGATAAATAAATGTTGTTATTTTATCTCCTTGCTTTTCACTTTCTGTTTGCGAAAGTTCTGAAACAACGCTTTAGCTATACCCGAACTCGCTATTACGACAACCTTTTAATTATAATGATTCCCAATTCACGTATTTAAATCTGAAATAAAACAAAAATCCATAAACTAACCACCACTTAATCGAGAATGGGACATCACTTCCACATCTATCCATTTGCTATTTTTTAAATTTTTTGTTATAGAAATCAAAATATATTTAATCCTGAAGTTATAATTAACTGTATACACATACACAAAAGTACAAGGTAAAAAAATACATCTAAACAGTGCATTATTTTTTAAAAGACAAAATAAAAGACAAAATCATACTATTACATGCATATTGATATTTTTGTGTTTTATCAATTTTCAAAGAACTAAATTGTTACTTCATAAAACTGTTCTTTTGTAAATGGATTTAACAGCAGATAAAATGTAGAAAAACCTACAACAGATAATGGCACATCCTGTTAACAAGGTAATCAATTACTGAAAAGATTTTTTTATAAGTTATTCAAAAAGATAATCTTTTAAAAAGACATGATGACACACATTGATAAGGAAATATTATTGTTTACATAACAAACAAATTTGACAAATGTTTATATTGTCATCTCAATTGGGTTGAAGTAAGTTGTTAAAGTTACCCAGCTTAACCCATAACTTGCTGGAGTAGTGGAATCTTACTGATTATCAAAACGAAAATGTGAACAAAGATAGCTACTCCCAACATTTTAAGCTTTGCTGCCAGCTGAGATACAGGCCAGGCTGCACATATGCAGTGCAATCAAACCAGGCTCTATACTGTTGGTAGCTCAAATTTTTGTATCTCAATATTAAAATCCCTAAATTTTTTTCAAACAGATCTTTCCAGTTTCAAAACCATTATGAAAATTTAGCATGTTATGAGTTATACTCTTAGAAAGCTTAGGTCGACTGAAAGCTTTGCCTATGTATCGCCAAGGCTTCAAAGTACAATGGAAATAATGCTAATAGGAAACTTTCAACCATTTGGTGAATATGATATATAGAAAACTTTCACCCAACAGCAAATACGCAAATGGAAAACTTTCACCCAAAATCAAATATACGTATGCAAATGGAAAACTTTCACCCAAAAGCAAATATGCCAATAGGCAACTTTCACCAAAGCAATTATGCAAATGGACCACTTTCACCCAAAAGCAAATATGCAAATGGAAAACTTTCACACAAAAATAAATATGCAAATGCACCACTTTCACCAAAGCAAATTAATATGCAGATGAAAAATTTTCACCAAAGCAAATATACAAATGGAAAACTTTCACCTGAAGCAAATAATTTTTTTTATGCAAATGGAAAACTTTCACCCGAAAGCAAATATGCAAATGGAAAACTTTCACCCGAAAGCAAATATGCAAATGGAAAACTTTCACCTGAAAGCAAATATGCAAATGGAAAACTTTCACCTGAAAGCAAATATGCAAATGGATCACTTTCACCCAAAATCAAATACATGTATGCAAATGGAAAACTTTCACCTTAGCAATATGCAAATGGAAAAGTTTTCATCAAAGCAACTATGTGAATGGAAAACTTTAACTAAAGCAAACTATGATAAATTTAATCTTCACAAATAATTGGAAAACTATCACCCAACACAGAATTTATAAAGTGACTTCAAACACGTGAAAACTTTCATCAAAACAAATTATGCTAACCAAGTCTAACTTTTTTTAACAACAGTACAACATGAGAAAAATTAGCCGCGTCACGACAAAACCAACATAATGGGTTTGCAATATAGTGATCAAAAGATAATGGTTATTTTCAGAATATTTACTGGCATTAATTAGTGCATCAGCATGAAGTTGTAATTGTTACAGCTTTTTATTTGTACCCTGAAACTGGCTGTGAAAAAACAAGATATTCTTTATTCAACTGTATAGAGGTGTGGATATGTCATTTTTATATTTTATTGTGTGTGTGTGTGTGTGGGGGGGGGGGGGGGGGTAGGGGGTAATTTGCTCACAGTAAAAAGACATTGTTCAGTGTAATTCTTTCCAAGTTTACTTGTCTTATAATCCCTCAAAAGAATTCTATTTTCACCTTGCAAGATTTTGGAATCAATCTATTTTAAAATTTTCATGATTAAAATTTTTTCATGCAAGTAAACAAACTATGTTGACTTAAAGTTTTCACATCTATCTTTATGGATGTTTGCTTTCTCCACAGGAGACTGACATTTTAAATAACCAATGTTGCCCTGTTTATGTGATATGAAAACTGATGGATATGACATTGTGATAAATGTGACTGAACAACAAACATAAAGTACAACATATAAAGCCTGCCGTGTGTGAAAAAACGATCAAAGCAAATCCAAAGATCAAAGCAGATCACATTCCACATGTAAAATACCTCGAAAGTTTTTGCCCTTCATTAGCTCTTCCCATACCAGTTTTATCAATGGCAGTGCTTTCCATGGGAATGGCCGAGTCAGCATTTCGTGGTGTCTTTAAGAATGAAGCATTCTCTATGTCCTCAGTGATTGGTTCTAAGTATGGATTGTCATTGGTTACAGCCACTTCCTGTGCGAACAAATCCATCTCATTTTTGGCAAAAGGAGCTTCAGGAGTATTGGCAGGGGTGCCTTTGGATACAAGCTGTGTATCAACTGAACCAGTGTTTGTATCCATTGACACAGTTGTTGGCTCAGTGCCAACTGTTTTTGCTTTTTCGACTACCTGACCAAGCTCTGCTTCTATTTCAACAGGTTCTTCTTCGATATCAGGGGATTTTATATATGTCTCATCAGGCTCCTCTGAAGTCACTAGCATGTCTTCTTTGGGAGACATTTTCTTGCTGATTTTGAGGTGTGATTTACCACTAGGAGTCCTAGACAGCACAGAGTCTCGGGCCTGGCTCGGCAACGTGTAGGGAAGTGGCATACCCTCAGTGCTTGCCCTACTTTGTACCTCAGAAAACAAGTCCTGTCTGCTGAATAATGGGCGTGAAAATGTAAAAAAAAAAATATTACCAACGGCAACAGATTGTCACCTTAGTGCAGTAACGGATTAACTCTTTATATAGTTTACCTTAGTGCAGTAACGGATTAACTCTTTATATAGTTTACCTTAGTGCAGTAACTGGTTAACTCTTTATATAATTTAAAAGGTGTTAACCCGTTGCGGCACTCAGGTGATGAAATATGGATTGGTCTGTATTAATCACTAATTGAAAAAAGTTTTGTGAGAAAAACGTGTTTCATTTAGGTTAGGTTAAAGTTAAGCCTCTTCTGACTGAGCAATATAGGCAACTTAACCAGATCATTACTCTTATAAACTTTATTCCAATAAAAAGAATGCCTTATAAAATGTCTTTTTTTTCTTCTTCTAAATAATGAAAGAGGATTTTAAGATTTAACTTAAAGATTATGTTAATAAAAAAAATCTGAAGAAGACTATATATATACATTTTATGTGGAAAGCTTGGAAAAGCTTTTGCTTTCATTGAACAGATTTTAAGATTTTATACAAATATACATACAAACAATATATAACATACAGAAAGTTTTTTTTATAGGTAACTTTCATTGTTTATGAAGAAATATATGACTACTGAGCCTGAATGTTAGAGCATTTTGTCAGTAGTGCAAATGAATTTTGAAAGTTTTTTTTACAGACTGATTTTACATAAAGACTGGACATTGGAAAGAGAGCAGTTACTTGATTGTGATGTTTTGTTTGATAAGGTTTTACAGTGCACTAAAACAATTTAGGTTATATGACAACAAAACAAGACAGATGATATTGGCAAACCTTGGGTGTCACAAATTCCAAAGCAACACCAAAGGTCAAAACCACCCCACCTGCTGGAGCTAAGAAATGCTTAGACACCAGAAATTTGTACCCATTTAGTCGCCTTACGATCACACAATGCTAAACAGTGGCTGAAATTCTGATGCCTCAACACCCTTAAAGGCAGCCAACCCATCAACCACAAGGGGAATAAGTAAGTAATCCATTTAAACAGTACATCAGTATCAACCTAGAAATGTTTTATCACTCATTCCAATTAGTTCTAACATCAAATTTTAACATACCTATGAAGTTTACCATTATAATTTATATGTCTTATGTTAGATATTGAATGTTTCAAAATTGAATCATTTAATATTCAAATCTTGCTGATGCGCATAAAAGTATAAGACATTGGACAAACTTATGATTGTTTTATTTTTTTTTCTAAAAACATTAAATCAAATACAACAGTTTATACATAATACCGAAAATGAATGGCCATATTTGGTGGATAGAATACATCATCGTCTGGATCTAAACTGAAATCTGATTGGCTGAAAACATGCATAGCAGGATTTGTGATAAAAATAAAATAAGTAAATAAATTAAAAACAAAAAACAAAAAAAACACACCTGAAATTTGATTGGCCCAAAACAAAGAAAGCTTATTTTTGTAAAAAGGACCTGAACAAAACAAACATAGCTGATTTTTCAGGCCAGAGAATTTAAACTGAAATCTGACCAGCTACATTCAAACACTGATGATTTGTAGAAAAACAAAATTGAACTAAAATCTGAAACAAAGCTGGCTTATTTTGTGTAAAACAAAAATCTAAATAGGAATCAGATAATTGACTCTAAACAAAAAAATATAACCTGTTTGCAGAAAACAGGATCTACACTAAATTCTATGTAAATATTCAATTGCGAGGAATGGTCCTAGAAACAACTTTGATTTTAAAAAAGATATATTTGCATGTTTTTTAACTGGTCAGTCTTAAGTTGAAAATCATGGACTGTCAGTCTGGGTTAAAACCTGTAAGGGCTACAAACTGACAATAGATCCAGAAATTTTAAGAATACTTTTTCACAGATAAAGGAAAGCTTTCAAGTGCTAGAAATGTACATCTAAACCTGCATATAACTCCTGAGTCAATATATATGCATTACAACTTCCCTGTTATTCTCCAGGGACCTTCAATTCAGTTTTCTATCAAAATAAACAGTGTACTAGCACATGCCTATCTACTGGAAAACATTTCCAGATAGTAAGCAGATTCAATAAAATGTTCGACACAATATCACTAAAGGACGTTTTCGGGAGTTTTCATATAGACATATAGGCAAAATCAAGTCTGTTCAATAGAATGTCTTTAAACTAAATAAGCATGTTGTTACAATATGAAAACAGAAACATTTTTAGGAAACAAAATTTGGGGTCAACATCCCTAATATCTTATGTTTTAAACCTTACACTTAATAGATAAAGAAATTATATCAATTAGACATAAAGGACTATAATTACCTGCCACTTCTGCGGGACTTTCTGCTGGATGAGCTGCGGTCAGAAATTGTTGAGAAACCGTCTGTCTCCTTCATCCTCTTTCTGAATGTAGACCTGAAGATTAAACAAGGGAGATAATTAACTATTTCGGCACTAATAATACAAGGGAGATAATTTAATATTACAGAACTCAAGATAATACAAGGGAGATAATTAACTATTTCAGAACTGAGGATAGTACAAGGGAGATAATTTACAATTTAGAACTGAAGATAGTACAAGGGAGATAATTTACTATTTCAGAACTGAAGATAGTACAAGGGAGATAATTTACTATTTCAGAACTGGAGATAATACAAGGGAGATAATTTACTATCTCAGAAATGAAGAAAATACAAGGGAGATAATTTAATATTTCAGAAATGAGGATAGAACAATGGAGATAATTTACTATTTCAGAACTAAAGATAGTACAAGGGAGATAATTTACTATTTCAGAACTAAAGATAATACAAGTGAGATAATTTACTATTTCAGAACTGAAGATAGTACAAGGGAGATAATTTACTATTTCAGAACTAAAGATAGTACAAGGGAGATAATTTACTATTTCAGAACTGGAGATAGTATACAAGTGAGATTATTTACTATTTAAAAACTGAAGATTGTACAAGGGAGATAATTAACTATTTCAGAACCGGAGATAAAACAAGGAAGATAGACTATTTTAGATAGTTTTTTTTCAGAACCAGATATAATACAAGGGAAATAATGTACTAATTCAGAGCTGGAGATAATACAAGGGAGATAATTTACTATTTCAGAACTGGAAAAAAATACAAGGGAGATAATTCATTTTTCCAAAAATGAAGATGATGCAAGGGAAATAATTTTCTATTTCAGAACTGAAAATTATACAAGGGAGATTACTTACTTTTTCAGAACTGATGATGGTTCAAGGGAGATAATTTACTTTTTAAGAACTTAAAATGAAAACAAGAGAGATAATTTGCTATTCCATAAATTAAAATGTTAATATAACTTACGCTGCTCCTTTTGACCTTGGGGTTAGAGGGCCATCCTTTTTACCTGAGAAACAAAGTAATATATCATATTTATTATATGCAAGTGCAAATGGTTGAGATATTTACACTTATTTTTGCCACATCACCGGCGGTGGATCAAACTATTACTGGCTTTCCTGGGTGACTAACCAGTAAATACCAATTTTTTTTATCAAAATGATTGACTAATATTATTACGCATGATTTCTGAATTAGCTGTGAGAGACAAATGACCATTAGAGTCAATGTCCGACATCAATTGTCACACAGAAATATGTTATATCAATGTCTAAGAATTAAGTACACATAAGTATCAATTACAATTAAATTTGAACAGTACAATAGACACTGAATTTAAATCATAATTACATGTATGTGATTTCAGATTAAAATTTGATATTTGTATTGAAATATTTTAATACTAATCATGGAATTTTTGAAAAAAAAGGAATAACTGGGAGTTTCTCCTAACAGACCTTGTTTACGTATAAAATAAACATAAACATTGTAAAATTCATAATACACAGAAAGGTAAGAGAGTTGTTGAATTCATAATACACTGGCTACAAAAATTTACCATTGTCAATTATAACAACATAGGTTAAATTTCAAAAACTCTTAAATGAAAACATTAATGTTAAATTCACAAAACACTGTAAAATGAAAACATTAATGTTAAATTCACAAAATACTGTAAATAAAATACATTGGTAAAATCTACAAAACATGTATGATTAATGATTAATTCATGGTGGATTAAAAAGCTAAACAATTTACAGAACGTACAATGTTAAATTCTTAGAGCACTGCAAATGAAAAACGTATATTAAATTTATAAAAACACTGAAAATCAAAAACACACAAGTTAACATCACAACAAAAAAACAACAACCAGAAAGCACTAATTTGTAAATCATGTTAAGACTACAGGCCCATCAATTACTCTTCATACTCTTTCACCAACCAATCACCCGAAACAAAACATTTACATAAAAATTCACTCAAAAAATCCACTCAACATGTAGACACTCACTACCAAGGGAATCTTTCCCGAGTATCGAGCCCCGCGGTGTTATAATCACGCTTATTTTACCACTCTCTATCTCGTCCTCATCGTTACTAGACATGCTGTTACTTTTCTCAACATTTTCAAAACCAGCATTCTCGTTAATATAAATTTTTTCCATGTTATAAGCAACCAAATTTTCCATGCTGTGAGCAACCTCATGCTTATTTGCGCTATTTATCATGCTGTTAAGGTCAATTCCAGACTCAGTATCTTCACCTTCAAAGTCCAAGTTCGAAATCTGTTCTACGTCAAACATGTTGTTCTCGTCGGAAATCTGGCTGTGTTTCGAGCTATGTTGATCTGCGTGTGACATGGTCCACTTTTCTGAGAAGTGCGACGTATCGTATTCGCTGACCGATATCGCACTTTCAAACGCGCTGTCTGTCGAGATTTCGTCAAAATTTCTACCTGTGTTGTCTCTATGCATAAAATTGGGCAGTGGACCAACCAGTGACAAATCAGTCAAAGTGCGCTCCTTGAGTAGTAATTTATCCAGGGATTTGGGACTACTTTTCGCAGAGCCTTTACTCACATCACTTCTCTCTTTAAAAAGTAGGTCTTCATCAAAATCTTTAACGGGTTCCTCATCGAAATTGAGCAACGGGTCTTGCATGAAAGGACTGTCATTTGTCATCATGAATTCAGCGTTATCAACATCATTTCCCATCAAGTCAGACAATGGTGTCGGCTGTTCCAATCTTTCACCGGGGTAAACCGACGCCCCTGCACGATCAAGCAAATCCATACGTGCATTAAAGCGACTCTTCTCAGATTTTAACCCTGTACTTTTAGCACCGTGCATGCTGACATCACGGGAAAATACAAGTTCATCATTATCGCTATAGGAACCAGGGGTCGTGGGGAGGTCGGCGTACATAGTGTTACGACCACTCGTGTCGTACATATCTATAACTGAAATTCAATCATGTACATTTTGTTCTCTCATAAAACTATAACTCATTTTGTATATTAATCATTTACCATTTATCAACAAACAAAATACAGTTCACTAAAAGATTGATTATGAACAAGGTTCACAAGCTACTGTATTGGATGCAGTCATGTTTAACAGGACCTTCCAGGTTTTAATTCTGGAAAATGGGCAAAAGCCCTCCCATACAAAAGCCCTTCCATCCAAAAATGACAAGGCTGACAAAGACCCTCCGGTGAAAATTGACAGGGCAGTCAAAAGCCATGGAAAGGCTTTTGTTCACCTTGTGATTTTTGGACGGGAGACCCTTTGTTCAGGAAAGCTTTTGTCATACACTCTTTTATTACAGGTCAGATACCAAGTTGCTTGTATTCCACAAAAAAAGATATGTTTATAACGTATATACAACTTTTATTTTCATGAACAAGAACCCTATGTTCTCTAGCATAGTCTTAACTTACCGGACTTGCCCTCTGACATGATAGAATGTTCCTTACGAGATCGTGAATCTTGCCACAACTCATCATCGTCTCTCTGAAATTTAACAATGTTAACCACTTCTACAGACAACTTTATTGTAAGTTATCCCTTTGTCATACAGCAATTTTGGTTTTAAAAATAATATCATTTTCGCCTTAACAAAAGTGGATTCGAACCCACAGTGTAAGATGGGCAAGTGGTTTGAAACCTGGATGACCTTAACCACTCAGCAATAGATGAATAGAAAGGTATTTAGCATTTATGTGAACTGTGTTCTGTATGCAAAAAAGGCAACAAAAATAAATCCCAAGTACAAGAGTATTATCAAGAACACCCATGTTATTTATGCAGATAAGAATTCAGACACTACTTTATCTTTTCAACAAAAGAAAACTATGCCACTAGAATGATATTAATGGCCAACTTGTTGACCTTATTGCCAGCTGGTGTCCCATAGGAGCACTTTTGGGGGTCTTCACAATCTGGTTTCCTCATAATGAGCCAGAACTTGCTTAGGTAATGGTAATTGAGAGGGTCAAGTTTTGAAATAAAAATAAAGTATAGATAATATATAATTACGTCTTCATCAAACAGTCCTGGAGTGGTGTCCGCCACCCAATTCTGAATTCGGTGAAACACCTCTGGGTCTTCATGCTCTCCAAACCTCTCTGCAAGCATCGCTAACGAGTACTCCTGAAATATTTATAGTATTTTAGTCGAACCTGAACATTTTTACCAGTTTTATGTCATTATGACCACTTTTATGTCATCATGACAATTTTATGTCATCATGACTAGTCTTAGGTCATTATGACAAGTTTTAGGTCAATATAACCAGTTTTAAATCATTATGACCAGTTTTAGGTCAATATGACAAGGTATTAGATTATGACCACTTTTAGGTCATTATGACCAGTTTATGGTCATTATGATAAGTTTTAGGTCATAATGTCAAGTTTAGGTCATTGTGACAAATTTTAGGTCATTGTGACAAATTTTAGGTCATTATGATCAGCTTTTGGTAATTATGACCAGTTTTAGGTCATAATGGCAAGTTTAGGTCATTAGTCCAGTTTTAAGTCAAGACAATTTTAAGTAAATATGACAAGTTTAGGTCATTATGACAAGTTTAAGATCACAATTATTTGTTTTTGTACGCCTAAAAACATGTCCCAATTTGAAAAAACTCCCTACAGCTAATTTTATGGTAGCAACAAAAATCAATCCAAAGGACTATTCGACTCTTTGCGGTATGAAAATAATCAAGACATGCCAAACTTCATCAATTTTTCATTACATTTTGATATTTAGTTTCATGTTTGCTGCAAGGAGACCTGAATATTGTTTGCATTCATATCAAGGTCTGCATTTTTCAATTTATCCTGACAGGGGAGGTAACTCAAGAATGTTTTACATAAGACAATAAATCTTGTATTACTTCCCTTCTGTCTGCAGTAACAAGTTTTTCAGCACTTATTTTTCTTTTTGGCTGGTGAGAAAAAATGGGATTTTTACTGCAATGTGGACTCTAAAACAGGTAAACTTTCAAAACTAAATTAAAATGGATAATTATAGTCCACTAACAACTGAACAAATAGTGACACCTTGAGATAATGTCTAAAACATGTTTTGGATACAATATAGTTATAGAAAGTATACAGACAAGATCAAAGACACAAGTTCATATGCAAATACAAGGATAATCTCACTGGATTTCTGAAAGAATGGCTATGAACAGTTTAAACAAAACTTAAACAAAAAAATATATAAAACCTTTGTTTGTTTAATTGGGTTTATGTCACACCAACACAGTATAGGTTCTATGGCCATTCCAGTTTTACTGGTGGAGGAAGACCTCAAGGTGTCCTTCGGTGCATTTTATCAGGCAAGAACGGGCACCCGAGTAAAACTACCAATGTTCTGTAAGCTAGCTCAGGATAGCTTCCTTTTAAAACCTTGGGGAAATAACAAAAACCAATATAGTGCTTTTGCGACCAGCATGGATCTAGACCCGGCTGGGCATACACGCAGTCTGATCAGGATCCATGCTGTTCGTTTACAAACCCTATTACAAGTAGAGAAACTGATAGCGAACAGCATGGATCTTGATCAGACTGCACAGATGCACAGGCTGGTCTGGATCCAAGCTGGTCGCAAATGCACTATATTGGTTGTGTCATGGCGCGGCTCAAATTTACCTGGTCCTCTCTGCTCCTGTATTCAGCTGATGTGATACCGACTGATTCTAGAAAATTGAGCAAAGTCTCCTTGTCATGAGCTCCAGTTAGAACACGGATAGCCTCGATCGCAGCTCCTTTAATACTCTCCTATATAACAACAAATAATTATGATAAGATTATAAAATTTGTCATCTGTAGCTATTCAGATCTGTATATATGTCCCTCAAGGACCCGCCTATTGGCTGTAACAAGGCTTGCCGTGTTGCCACACAAGGGTTGGTTCCCTGGTGACGGATATTCCTATCTGAACCGCAAACATATGTCAGATATTATTTCTTGCATCTATCATATTCTGTTATATTTTAAATTTAGATGGCCGGTCTTAAAAATAATTGTAACAATATATTTGTATGTTATCAACTGAAAATGTGTCAACAAGACATGGATACCTCCTCATTCCCACTGTTTTAAGTCAGTCTACGGATGCATAATGTGACAGATAAACAAGGGCAGATCTATATCCTCCACCTTCAAATTAATCTGAGACTTAAAATTTCAACCTCATTTTGTAAGAAAAAAATAATCTTATATAGTTGAGTAAAATACTTTATGAAATAGTAATAATGAAATGGCTGAATGAAAGTAATCAGGATTTCAATGATGACAATACATACATCTTGATCAACAAGTTTAGGCAGGATGAGCATTAACACATCATTTCTACCCTGTCCTATATTCTGTAGCGTCTGTAATGTAAACTTCTTGATGGCTGTATTACTGTTGTCCAAGTTCACACCAAGTTTGCCGATAATCTGATCCATCTGCTCCTCGGTCAAACCAAGTTCACTATGGAAACCAAAAGCAACAATGAACATGTACATGTAATATCTAAACCAATAAGGTAATCTTTAACTTACTGTATAAGTGGCTAATTCTGCGTCTCAAACAGCAAGCGAATTTAAAATTGCAGACATTTTGCATGAGGACATATTAGTCGACCATAACAAGGGTAGAATTTAATGACAGGTTATTGGATATTAATGCTAGAGGATATTTTAGTAATTTTCATTAATTTGCAAAATTGTATTTTTTTCTTTCTTTTTTTGCTAGGCAATAAAATTTTGGTGATAGCTGTAGGTAGCAGAAGGGAAAACATACAATATTTTATTTTAGGCCTAAATTTATTTAAACTGAAAAGGTCAACCTACTAGAACAAGTTTGTAACATAAGTTTGAAAAGGTCAACTTACTGGAACAAGTTGGTAATGTAAGTTTGAAAAGGTCAACTTACTGGAACAAGTTGGTAATATAAGTGTGAAAAGGTCAACTTACTGGAACAAGTTGGTAACATAAGTGTGAAAAGGTCAACTTACTGGAACAAGTTGGTAACATAAGTTTAAAAAAAACAACTTACTGGAACAAGTTGGTAACATAAGTTTGAAAAAATCAACTTGACGGAACAAGTTGGTAGCATAAGTATGAAAAGGTCAACTTACTGGAACAAGTTGGTAATGTAAGTTTGAAAAGGTCAACTTACTGGAACAAGTTGGTAATGTAAGTTTTAAAAGGTCAACTTACTGGAACAAGTTTGTAACATAAGTGTGAAAAGGTCAACTTACTGGAACAAGTTGGTAATGTAAGTTTGAAAAGGTCAACTTACTGGAAGAAGTTGGTAACATAAGTGTGAAAAGGTCAAATTACTGGAACAAGTTGGTAATGTAAGTTTGAAAAAATCAACTTGACGGAACAAGTTGGTAACATAAGTATGAAAAGGTCAACTTACTGGAACAAGTTGGTAACATATGTGTGAAAAGGTCAACTTACTGGAACAAGTTGGTAACATAAGTTTGAAAAGGTCAACTGACTAAAACAAGTTGGTAACATAAGTGTGAAAAGGTCAACTTACTGGAACATGTTGGTAACATAAGTTTGAAAAGATTAACTTAATGGAACAAGTTGGTAACATAAGTGTGAAAAGGTCAACTTACTGGAACATGTTGGTAACATAAGTTTGAAAAGATTAACTTAATGGAACAAGTTGGTAACATATGTGTGAAAAGGTCAACTTACTGGAACAAGTTGGTAACATAAGTTTGAAAAGGTCAACTGACTAAAACAAGTTGGTAATGCAAGTGTGGAAAGGTCAACTTACTGGAGCAAGTTGGTCAACTGACTAAAACAAGTTGGTAATGCAAGTGTGGAAAGGTCAACTTAATGGAACAAGTTGGTAACATATGTGTGAAAAGGTCAACATACTGGAACATGTTGGTAACATAAGTTTGAAAAGATTAACTTAATGGAACAAGTTGGTAACATATGTGTGAAAAGATTAACTTAATGGAACAAGTTGGTAACATATGTGTGAAAAGGTCAACTTACTGGAACAAGTTGGTAACATAAGTTTGAAAAGGTCAACTTAATGGAACAAGTTGGTAACATAAGTGTGAAAAGGTCAACATACTGGAACATGTTGGTAACATAAGTTTGAAAAGATTAACTTAATGGAACATGTTGGTAACATAAGTTTGAAAAGATTAACTTAATGGAACAAGTTGGTAACATATGTGTGAAAAGGTCAACTTACTGGAACATGTTGGTAACATAAGTTTGAAAAGATTAACTTAATGGAACAAGTTGGTAACATAAGTGTGAAAAGGTCAAACTTACTGGAACATGTTGGTAACATAAGTGCAGGCCTTGTCATAGACATCGGAATTGTTCTGGTCGCTAAGCACTTTCACCAGAATGTTAATGATGTCACCAAGCTCAAAGTCTCTGCCAATTTCCGGCATCCACTCCTCCTGTAACAGCTGTTGTATTATCACATGACTCATATGTGACTTTAACCTCCGTCCAGACTTGCTTTCCTACAAGTATAATATATCACAATTAATATATCACAGTATGTTCCATATAGCATTTATTTTATAGGTTAACATTACAAAATATATAGCAGAATTTTCATATATAGCATTTATTTTAACATTACAAAGATTTATTGACAATTTAGTATAAATTTATTAAAAACTTTGCAGACTTATCTACAAGTAAAATTTAATGTATCGCAGAATTTTCATGATATAGCATTTATTCATAAGTTAACTTTACAAAGATTTATTTGACAATTTAGTATGAAGTTATTGAAATTTTCGAAGACTTATTGACAACTTAGATTAAGTTCATTCTCAACTTAACATCGAACTTAACATGTACTTATGCTACAAAATCAATACTGACCTTAACATGAATGGCTGAAGAATCTTCATCAACCGCGTAATTTGTAAGTTTGAAACTTTTCTCTCTGGCCTCACTTTGAGCGCCGGACCTACGACCAGAGGTTCTTGAGTCATAATCCAGACGTGACAGCTCGATTCTCTTACTTTTAACTAGAAAACAAAATCAAGCGATCAAAATATTGTATATATTTTATGCAAAACTTATTTAACGATTAGAGAAAAACTAAGAAATGTACATTACCATCCATTCTAACACGACCGGCATTTTTTCCCTATTTAACATAGAAGAACCGAAAGTGTTTGTTATTATGCTATAAAGTCACTGTTTGACATTCGATATTTAGACATGTGACATAATCATTATACATGTCACGTAACCACTAAAAATGTGACGCGCTGAAAATAAGTACGGAAACAAATCAGGCGCAATTTTGCTTAATATCAGGTAAGGCAGCATTTATTTGTTGATGTCGTGTTAGAATCGAAATAATATATCCAAAACTTGATAACATCACTGTTTGTCATTCGGATGAGCATCATTATATATATAATTCCTCTCATATGAACTCCAAACAGCGATCTTATTGAGCGACAAAAACACGGTTTTGGATATATTATTACTTAAATATGTACATGTAATTTATTTACAAGGGCTTTTAAGAAAAAAAATGTTTCACAAAAAAAAAAAACTAGAAATGTGTCCATAGGACACGGATGCCCCCACACACCACTGTTCTGTCAATCTTATGACTCTAGGTCAAATATTTTTTGGACTACATGTGCCACAAGTTGAAAACTAAAAATCAACAAAGGGCCATAATTCTGTTAAATTTGGTTGCAGCAAAAATTCCTTCCTTTACTACCATCTACACATTAAGGTTGTAAATCCCTGGAAGTTTAAGCAAAATCTGCCATCTGGTTTAAGAGGAGTTACGTTTACAAAATTTCTACAAAGTATATAATGAAAAAATCAACAAAGGGCCATAATTCTGTTAAATTTGGTTGCAGCAAAAATTCCTTCCTTTACTGCCATCTACACATTAAGGTTGTTCATCCCTGGAAGTTTAAGCAAAATCTGCCATCCAGTTTAAGAAGAGTTGCATTCACAAATTTTCTACATAGTATATAGTGAAAAAATAATCAAAGGGCCATAATTCTGTAAAATTTGGTCGCAGTGAAAATTCCTTCCTTTACTACCATCTACACCTTAAGGTTGTTCATCCCTGTAAGTTTAAGCAAAATCTGCCATCCGGTTTAAGAGGAGTTGCGTTCACAAAATTTCTACATAGTATATAGTGAAAAAATCAACAAAGGGCCATAATTCTGTTAAATTTGGTCGCAACAAAAATTCCTTCCTTTACTACCATCCACACATTAAGGTTGTTCATCCCTGTAAGTTTAAGCAAAATCTGCCATCCGGTTTAAGAGGAGTTGCGTTCACAAGATTTCAGGACGTACAGACAGACGGACGGACGGACTGACTGATTGACGGACGGACAAGTGCAAAGCTATATGCTCCCACATTGTGGGGGCATAAAAAAAAAAAGCTAACATAAACTTGTAATGGAATATATAACAAACAATTAAGTTAAAGCTTTAAGAAATAACTAAAGAAAAAATTATAATAAAATAAAAAACCTTTTTATTTTTTATCTGAGAAACATGATAGCAAGGGTGAAAAAATCATAGCTATATCTAATACATTTGAAACTGCAGACTGCAGATAAGTAAAAAAAAATATATTAAAGTTATAAACTTTGGAAATAATGAAAGTGCCTTCTCTATCTAATTTGAAGCATTTCATTTGCAAGCTTGATTACTGTATGTTTCTTTTTTCATGAAATACTAGCTCACCCCCCACCCAAAAAAAAACACGAGGCTAAGGCCTCTATCAAATTAAGTGAGAAAAAACCACTGGCTTATAAGTGAATTGGTCTATAATGGAAGGTCTGTAATACAATGAATACTATGAATAATTATGTTAAAAGTATTTAGTATTAGACATAACAACAAACCATGAAAGAACTATATATGGAAGTTGTTGGCAAGTGTGAGATACATGATCCGATATCACATAATTATATTTATATATGGCGGATAATAAAATATTGTCACCTTAGTGCAGTATTTACAGGTTAAGTCATAAATTTAATAAGAGTTAGCCAGTTCATTATTGCATTTAGGTGACAAATTATATTCATATATTCATATTAAAAAATCATTTTAAGTCACTTAGAATTAACTATATCAACATTTTTCCCAAACAACTGTTGTTTATACAAATATCCAAATGGTACATTTCTATTATTTTTTATCAATATTTGGTGACAAATATAAGGAAAATGTGGAGAATTAGAAGGACTCAACTGTTACTGCACTAAGGTGTTTTGTTCTAGAATATTTCATTATCTGTTACATAAATATAATTATGTTATATCAGATAGTGCTTGTGCCCATTGTAGACCAATCCACTTAAACTTTGTACACTACACGTTTGTTCGTTTCATTTTACGCCTTTTCCGAACAGTATTTCAGTCATATAGGCGGGTAGTTTCCTAATCATCGTTCCTGGAGAGTTACACCAGTACTAGACTACCTTCCTCCGCGCTAAACTACCAAAGCATCTCCCAGGGATCGAACCCACGACAGAGAAAAATATGAAAATAAAAAATATTTCACCCAGACCTTGGCCACCATTATGATCAGTGTATTATATAATCACTTAAGAAGAAAACAACCTAAATACTGACAGAAAACTAAAGCATTCTATATGAAAAAAGCCAAAGTTTTGTTTCAGTGCCTACAAGAATAATGGTTGTAAACACTATGTACTGTACTATTTCCTATTATAGCTCTCTTTCTAATGGGTTCCAGGGTTCTTACAGACAAGACATCCTATGCCAAAATTCAAGCACTTTTTAAGCATGCCTCCCCTTTATTTTTAAGCAATTTGTTGCACATTTATTCATATGTAACTCATGATAAGTATCTTTAAAACAGTCATAAAACATTGGAAACTTGATTATTGACTGCTAAATAAGATACATTGTACATTCAGGGCTCTAGTATTACAAGCATATTTAATTATTAAGATTGTTCATCTACTCTCATTACATACATGCAATTTAAGGGCTGTTTCACCCATATTTCAAGTGTCTATTTTTTACAAACCCCTGGGGAAGATGAAGGACAGACTCCAGACATGTTGAAATATAAGCTACATGCTTTATTTGCAGTGAAACTGCACACCCATGTAGAGCTAATTGGAAACCATACATTATCTGTCTCTATACAACTACACTGGTAGAATCAGACTGACTAGTTACAAAACCTCTAGCAATATACAAGATAAATTTCGAACACTTGGTGCAAATTGGTCGAAACTCATAATTCATAAAATACACAAGGGAGTACGACCTTTTTTTGCATCAAATGTTCTTATTGTGCAAGAATATACCTGTATCGTTTGTACACGTAGAACTTCGACTTTTCGCACTACAAGCTGTAAATGTGTTTTAACTTGTTAATAAGTAAATCACACCAAAATAACATGATTTTTTTGGGGGTTAAATACGGTTTTTAATGCAAAAAGGCATAGAAAACAATAAAATAAGAGAAATACATAACAATGTGATGTCATAAGATTAATTCAATATTGCATGTCATACAAACTGACAAATGGTTTTAAATGGTTTTACCTACTACATGAAAAGAAAGGGCCATTACTCTGCCAAAGTTTATTTAGATAGAGATGAAAACGTATAAATTGCAACCCTTTGAATAAGCCATGCATACAATCTTTATTTTCCAGGGGTAAAATTTCAACATACGTACTGACTGAATAGCAAACATTGCAGACCATTATTCATGAAAGCTGATCATGGTCCGCACTGGTTACATAAGTAATAATAATATTAAGTTGCTGCTAGCAGACTAAAGGTTAATATTTTGGATTTTAATGAAATATAAATTTTTTTTCTGAGTTCTGTCTCAAATCTCAGGATTTTCATTGGTCAGTGTAAATTCTGTGACTGTTTCTGACCAATCAAATACCTGAGATCTGAGTTTGAGAATTTTTTCTAAAACCTTGAGAATTTCTTATAAAACCTTGAGAATTTCTTCTAAAACCTTGAGAATTTCTTCTAAAACCTTGAGAATTTCTTCTAAAACCTTGGGGTGCAGTCATATAGTAATTTTCCAGCTATACACATAATAAAGGACCTGAAAACTTCTATATATTTAGTATTTCAAGATTTCCAACAACAGGTGGTAAAACTACAGACATTTGGCAATCCAGCTTGTTATAGCTTTCTTCTATGAAAGAATCTATTCCCTAAGGGACTACAACCATGAGGAGCCTGTGAAATCAGCAAACTTAAACCAGACTAGGACCTCAAGGATTTTTTTTGGTAGGGCTATAAACAAACATGTAAATTTTAGCTAAAAAAAACAAATGAAAATTCAACTATCCCATCACCATAGTAACACAAAACTCTTTATTCAATACCTTCAGCTTTCATTAAAGGGGTCATCTTCAGAGATGATGGTGAAATCACTGTATATGTGTAACAAAAACTTTTTGCAATATTCAAAATATAATATAGTGATATTTACTTTATGGATAAATAGAGGATATTCAAGTTTTTTCAATAAATGGATACATGATTTATTTTCATCGATTGGTATGAAAATAAATATTTCAGGAGCGGCTGGTACCACTCATGAAATATGATGCTTTTTCATACCACAAGATGAAAATAAATCTAATAATAGTATTTATAAAAATAAACTTGAATTTTCTGTTTATAATATACATTTTTCTCTTTTTTAACACTTCCTCTTAAATTTTGTGTATTGGCTGAATTAAAAAGTAAGTAATCTGGCAAGATACCAGTGAAAATATTTATTAAAATAAAAAAAAATAAAAAAATATTTATAAGTGGAAATAAGGAAAATGAAAATACGATTTCATCAGTATTTCTCAATATTTCATTTGTAAGTATATAATAAACATTGATATCAGTATCAGCCATGTATGCTCATCAAAATTACCAAGAAAAGCTGAAAACAAGGTTTAACAATCGGAAAAATCTATTTTTAGCATCAGTGATCTTGATCAAGCCATCCAAAAAAAACCCAAATGTCAAGGGTAAGAGGTTAATTACAGGCATTAACAAACCATATGAAAATAAACTTTTCCTGTAGAAAACTACCAGTATAAAAATTGCAAATTCTTTCACAGTTAAAGTGATATCAATAAATGTGAAACAGTGAAATAAACAGCTCTATAAAGATTTAGGGATTCATTTCAACAGGTAGGTTGACCTCTTTAAGAGTGATTGAATTAAAAAAAAACTTTGCTTTGCTTTATAAATAGATATACCAAAAAACAACATATATATTAAACTTACTTTTATAAGCTGTAGGTGTGCCTGGCTTTGTTTTTCCAGCTTTCAATGTCGAAGATTCAGAGAGATTTGTGTATGATCGTTGACCAGAAGTTGGTTTGGAGCGGCTCAGCCCTTCTGACGATGTACTGTCCCAAGTGTACTAAATATAGAAATTTAATAGAGGATACTGAATGAGTGTAGGCTTTAATAGTAAGTTCATTGAACGAGTAGAATAAAATCATATCATGTAAGCCTCTGGCGAGCACAATATTGTTTTAATCAACTCGGTCAAAAAATTTACTTAACTTGTTTCATAGATTAAGTATTGATTCTACACGAATATGATATTCTATTTATCACATATCCGAAATAAGATCAATAATTCACATTGAATAAAAAGAGATATTTTTCATTGACGTGCCTATAGTGTAACGCTAACATTAGTGCGCTTTAATGCTATGTTTGTCTGTAACGCAAATGACATAATGTCACAAATGACATTACGTCAAAGTGTTATCACACTAGGGGTTATATCGTTTTTATCAAATGGCTAAATTATTACTATCCTGCGTCGTAGTTAATGTGAAAATAATAAACAATATGGTAAGAAAATAAACAGGCCACTAGTTGACTTGATGAAACATTATCTGCCTGGTTTTGGTTTAAGAGCCAACATTAAGGTACATTTCTAAAATGACAATTTTTTATGGAGACCTTAACAATTCTGTTACAAAATTTGGTATTAACAGTAAAATTTATTCAGAAGAGTTATATGTAACGTTAAACTTTTCTAGTTAAGCAAAATATTTCACAGATAATTATTTTCCTTACAGGCAAGATTTCAAGTAAATATATTTAGTTTAAAAAGTATTTATGTAAGTAAATAACAAGAATAAGATTATGTGAAGAAAATCATCATTACAAAGTTAGATTCTTAATGATTTATTGCTATTGTTACTTTAATTTTTGCATTCTTAAACAGATGACGACAGCACTTTAATTCTGTTTCCTGCATTACCTGGTTGTAGACGTTACAAGGATTTTGTTAAATTTAAGTGTCTACACACATTTTACGTTAAACTTCTTAGTTCTTTTCCAGGGAATTAATTAAATGCCCTACTTGACTTCTTCATTTCCAAGGATTTTTTTTGGGGGGGGTAATTGGCCTAGATAGTTTCTAAAGTTTTCCTTTTTTACACAAGGATTTTTATACACAAACCTTCCAAAGAATTTTGGAAAACCTGAGTTTTAACCAAAAAAAAAAAAACCCTTGTACAATTGGATAATTTTTTAGGTTTTCAAAGCAGTTTTAAAGGTATTTTTCCAAAACCTTGGAAAATCTATGCCCGGGAATTCAAATAATTTAATGTTATCATAAGCATTTTCCAAAAGTCAAAGAAATAATCATAAATGCCTATGGAAAAGCATTATTTATTGTAAATGGCTGACAAGTTACTTGCGATTCAAATTTTATCATTATCATGTAATTAATAAGTTATTGAGGTTAGAAATAAAACAGTTAGCACATCTTATCGCACTGCACACATGAGTTACCTGAAATAAAATTTCATGTTTAGGTAGCAAGATTAAAAAAAAGTATTAATTCGCAATTGGAAAACTATTAGTTCGTCACGAATGTCACACCTGAGTTACCTTTCCTGATTTTCTATTTTTATCATTGGCTTTTATCATCTTTTTCACATTTTCGACCGGTGTAGTATCGTTTCTACTTTTAGAAACAGACTGTGTCCGACTTTTTACGTCGGATTTAGATTTTGGCGACTTCGGACTTATTGTTTTGGTTCTTCCTTCAGCAATATATTTTTTCACAGGAGATTCTATCAAGCTTTTCAATGACACTGATGAAACGGAGGATATAACTGATCTGGGTGTTGGAGATGGCGTGTCATCCCATTTCATTACACGATATTCCAGTTGCTTCAAATCAAATATAATACTGAACACAATGTGAATCTTTAACTCTAATAGTTAAACGCCTCAAAATTAGGAATTTTCTAAATGAATGTCTATATTATTATACTTCATTATTATAAGATTTGCTTTGTTTAACTTATCTTGCTACTTTGGAGTAAATTTATGAACTTAAGAAAAATTAAAAGTAGATGTTAGGGAAAACTTATTTAAAGAAATTGACAACCTCCTAATCAATGAAAGTGTGATTTTTTTTGAAAACAGAAAAATCAAATGTATGATTTCCCACATTACAACATTATTAAAGACATCATGTTTAGAGTCAAAGATCATCCAGTATATTCCCTCATCAATATGTGTTGAACAAGAAATTTTTTCATCAATATAGGAAAAAATTTTGTAAAAGAAGGAACAATCAAACCGTGACCTGCTATATTTCTATAATGAATCTGTCTAGCTTTGAATTTGAAACAGTCCATTCAAAGTTCAAGGGATTTCAATATAGAAAATACAAAAATTTAGATGCCAACAGTATAGAGCCTGGTTAGACAGTTGTGCAGGCTGGCCTGGCTCTATACTGGTGGCAAAGGCTGATCATTTTTGGTTCCAACAGGTTAAGGGTTAAAACTTATATCATGACTATAAAATCTGTTTTTGTTTTACTTACAGTAGTTGATTGTTCTTTATCTTCTTCCTCATAAGCCCACCAGGCTGGCATGTGCTGTGGATTGGCTTTTGGCACCTGCAAATAGAGCCATTGATAATCATAGCAAAGCATACTGATGATACATCAATATCAATGTCCTTTGCATGATTATATCCTAACCATACTTTGTCATCACTGCTATGAAATTTGTCCATTATATATAACAGCTTAGATTTAGACATGGCCACCTGTTTTTGTATATGTTTTCGGTGAATTTTCATTTTCATAGACGTTAAAATGATTAATCAAAATTATCAATTTTTTCAAATGTGTATCGATTATTGATCAACAGAAAAATATCGATGATACAACAATATCGTCTATCGATGCCAGCTCTACCTGCAAACATTAACTTAAAGATATACTATGCTTGTTGAGCTACAATATTTAGCACAGAGTAAGTTGATCTAATAATTAGTTAAAATGTTTGTGAGAGTAGAAAAAAAACCAAAATGTTCATGTTCTACTTACAGGTTTTAATTGGAAAGGTCTCTCTTTTCTTAATGCATCATCAATCTTCCCACCGTGAGTTTTCAATTTCTTCCTTATAACAGAGTTAGGAATATATCCTGAAAAAGAGAATATTTGAATGTAGTCTCTTTGGCAATCTACTTCTTCTTGAAAAACAAAAAACATCAAATACTGAAAGAAAAGAGTATTAAAATATTTACATCATTTAATATTATTATTAATTCTTAGTCTGCGGGCAGCAATAGATTCTACCCAATCAGTCAACCAGTGCAGACCAGGATCATCCAGCTCATTAATGCTGTCTTATCATGAAATTTTCCCTAAAAATGATGAATGGTTTTGTCCAGATTAAAGGATGGACAAGCCCATTTTAGAGATTTAGGTTGGTAATTGTTAAGAATTAAGAATTTTTCTTTTAGTTCAGGATTTAGTCTCAAATATTTTTCCTATTTGAATATTTTAAACAAACTATACAACTTAATTATCAACAGTGCAAGTTCATTACACAAAAGGTGAAACCAAGACCAGTCCACGGACAGCGCGCTCCACTTTTCTGTGCTTGATATATTAAAATAAAAAAAAATAGAAAAAGGGGCATATAATTTTGCAAAAAGTAATTCAAGGATTATCTGCCCTTTTGAAATGGCTTCCTTTTATGACAATTAACTAAGTGTATATGAAGTTTGAAGTGAAAAGCTTTAATAATTTCTGACAAATTTAATAGATTTTAACAAAAAGAAACATCAAACAGGCTGACGCTAACGCCAATGTTGCCAATGTTGACAATAGCTCCATTTTTTTTGCCTTGAAAAAGTGGAGCTTAAAAGCGTAAGAAGAACAGGACTGAAGTATTGTGTAGCTAAAAAGGATTGAAATATTTTATTCAATAATACCATCAGGAGCTATAATTGGATCCCTCTTAAGGAGCTCTTGTTCTTTAAGCAGCCTCATCTCCTCTGCTCCAAGTCGTTTTTGCTGGTTTAGTTCTTTCAGAGCCTTCCCGACTGCTGACGGGTAAATCTCTAGCGAACCCCCGGAATCAAAGTACGTCTTTTTTCTCTCCTTCACTGAAGAGCCAGTTCTTGAAAGCTTTCTAAGAGTATCATCTATAAATAGAACAGAATCCTTAAAGTTGTAGAAAAAAAGGCCAATTAAAAAAAAAATCCATTTTTTTTTATTTCAAAGCTCAAAAAAAAATGCTCATTTGCAAAAAGGTTGTGCAGAGCACTTTTTGAGTAAAATGGAATTTCTTGTGCATTTTTTTTTTTATACATATTCAAATATGAGATTCAACCCTATCAAGCAAGGAATTGAAAGTTTAAATTTACCTGTAGAATTTGTGACAAATGAGTAGAAAACCCGACACCTGATTGTAGAATTTTGCATATATTTAGATCAATACCAACAAAGCTCAAGTATTATTTCTAGTCATATGATGTTGACTTTTGTCCAGCAGATACAACCTTCAGGGTTGTCATTAACATTTTTTGCAGGTTTGTCTTGAATATAAGGCCGTCATTTTTGTTTTGATCATGTATGACAATGAGTGTTAAATTTTGAGGCGGCCCAACATTCATTTGAGACCCTCAGCTACCTCTTAATGACAACCCATTCTTTGTCAAAGAAATGCAATTTCCTGCTTTGCACTAGGTGTCACAAATTGCTCTTGTATGTTCTATTATTTATTTATTTTGTTTGAGATACACACTCATTGAACCAAGACCTTATAATTACAGCCAGATTGTAAAAAGTTTTTGAGAAATAACAATGGTAGCATTTCTGAGGCATAACGAGCCTTTAAAAAGATATATCACACCTACTCTAATAACATGCTAGGATTATTCTATATTGACAACTTACTTTTCTTTTTCTGAGAAACGTTGTCTGCTGCTTTTCTCTTAACGTTGGAACTGATATCTGAAAAATATGTGAACAATATACAGCTTGAGTCATAAAATAAATTTATTGTTTTAAATTTTGTTTGTTTGTTGTGCTGCACCAACACAGATATGGCACAGAAAAAGGAAAACAATTTCGGCTGACCTCAAGTGTCACAACACTTCAAAGCAACACCTGAGGGTTCAAAATTGTTTTAAATATATGACTTTCTTGAGACATTTCCAGATTTTTTTTTAAGTTTGATTTACCTGCAGTTTTCATTTAAATCCCATAACTATGGACAACCCCTTCCCCTCCCATAAGTACTGGGGGCATAAAACAGTAAGAAAATATATGAATACAAAACTTCACAAGTACAACCAAAATGTTTTACAACTTAACAAATAAAATAAAGATAAAATTCTGAGTAACCAAGCTAGGTGTAATATCAATATCTCAGTCTATGCGAAAGACCAAAGATGTTTGCCAGACAGTAGGTCTGGTAAATTTTCAAAGTTTACCAGACCAAATTTAAATCTAATCACTATTGCAGCAATTATGTTCTTAAAAATCAGACTGACAAAACAAAACAAAACAACAACAGCCCTGATATGACAACAACAAAAAAAGTGAGAAAATTGTAAATTTACCATGATTTACACTGCTAGTACCACAAAACTTATAATTCTACTGAGATTCCCTGACTGCCTCAATGTTACAACCATTTTAAATCAATACTATTTTAACAGCTCATTAACAGGTTTTCAGGCAGTTTTGTTAATATATATATAAACTGCCATCCAAAAAACTGTAGCATCAGTTTATCACATAGTGATATGAGAACAGCAGCAGAAACAAGAAATGTCCAACAACATAAATGCCCCCATTTCAAGCCCCTGACTCATACTATTGGTTATTGATACAGAAACATGCTTAGAATAAATGGGTACATGAAAGTGTTCAGTTATGGAAAAAGAAAAATAATAACCAATATATGACCAGAAAATAAATGAAAAGTAAGATAAATAGTTTTAAAGAAAACAAGCAGAAACAATTCTGACATTTTTAAGGTCCCTGAAACCTTGACCTTTGACCTGGTGACCCCAAAATCAATAGGGGTCATTTACTAGTTACGACCAATCAGTATGTGAAATATGGAGATTTTGTTATAAATTGTTTTTAAGATATTCAGCGGAAACTATATGGTCCACCAACAGACAGACAGACAGATTTAAGGTCCTTGTGACCTTGACATTTGACCTAAAAACAGCAAAATCAATAGGGGTCATCTACCACATATGACTAATCAAATTGTGAAATATGAAGACTTTGTAATAAATAGTTTTCAAGATAATGAGCAGACACCATTCTGACATTTAAGACCCCTGTGACCTTGAACTTTGACCTAGTGACCCCAAAATCAATAGGGGTCATCTACTAGTTATAATCAATCAATATGTGACTTTGTAATAAATAGTTTTCAAGACAATGAAAAGTACCATTTCATTTAAGACCCCTGTGACCTTGACCTTTGACCTAGTGACCCCAATATCAATAGGGGTCATTTACTAGTTATGACCAATCAGTATGTGAAAACTGACTTTGTGATAAATAGTTTTTAAGATTATCAGTGGAAACCATGTTGTGTACTGACTTCGAACAGACAGCCAGTTTTGAAGGGGAAATTGAAGATGCAAATGTACAGTTGCCAGGGGCTGAAGAGTAAGGTTAAGAAATTAACAAACATCCTTCTGTTAAAGTCTAAAACTACATTTTTTTACCTTCCAGAAAGCCAATTCACCTATTTGATACAGGTTTATCCGAATTTTTGAAGGAAAGTGTATTAAATCAAGAGACTGAATTGTTAGTAACTGTTACTATAAATAACTTGTCTGGTCAGTCAAAATCAATAAGTATTAAAAGTTTCAGCAGTTAGTCATGACATTTGACCAGTACTATTGACTTCTGTTTCACTAATATACTATTGATCAGTAAGTATTGTAATGATAATCCCCAGCAGGTCATATTAAGTTAAAGGTAATCAAATATTAAAGGGACTCAACTGAGGTTTTTCAAGCATGACATGACTAGAAATATTTTCCCGATATTTGTGTACCATTTGATGTAGGTTTGGACCAATAAATTGTATACAAATTATTCTTCAACCCATTTTTCCACAATAATCATTAATATAGTGTAAAATGACCTAAACATGAAAAGTGTTACTCAAGTTGAGCTAAAAATCACACAAAAAATTAATTTTCCGTCTAATTCTGAACATATTTCTTTATTATCCTTTGTAAATTTTCCCACTTTAACCCTTTCCCCCATGAGCATATTGTGAAAAATGGCCATTTTCACTGAAAAGTCTCCTCTTACAAGTTCAAACTGCTATGAAACTATGAAAAATGCTTCAAACTAATCAAACTTGGCACAAATGTTGACTGGACCATTGCCTTTGTAACGACATGCTCAGTCTTAAATTTCCTGTTACCATGGCAACGAGGGGACATCTCAAAATTGCCAAAAATCACTATTTTGCCTCGATTTTTTCCATCAAAATTTATTTCAAAGTGCTTTTCAACTTCTCAAGGGATTGAGATAGAGTCAAAGGCTTTTCAGCGTTGGTTACACGTTACCTTATGATCAACCTGGGGTCATTTTAAGCCTCTCACAAGTCCAAAATTTTCTTGGAGATGAGGGGGACTCCGCCCCCCTTCTGGCAACCCCCTGGTGTATTATTTGGATGGGGGACGGCGCCGAAAAAATGGTCACTTTTTTTAACAACATTTCTCAAATGAAAAACAGTGTTTGGGATCTCAATTGGACATTTTTTCACTGTTTGAGGCCTCAAAAAGGGGGGGGGGGGGCAAAAAGCCGTCGAAACACGCTTATATAAGGGAAAAGGTTAAAAAAAAGTATTGCATTCTATAATCATATCCAAAAATAACTTTCCCATTCCATCTATACTTGTAAATATACCAATTTACAATTTTAATCAGGTATAAAATAATTGATCCTATTAAACCTTTGCATTTTAAACAGCCTGTAAGCATGAAAATTCCTTGTCTTCTCAAAATGTAAAAAACCTCGCTAAATTAGTTTTATGTTTTAAATAATTAAAGTATAATTAACACATTCAATATCATTAACAATTCTCTTTCATTGCATTGCCTTTTATCTCGCAATTCTTAAAGGGGCATTGACATTTTCTGTACTTTGCATCCCTGACATTTTTTTCAGTTTTAATTTACAGAAGATAGGAATTAAAGCAGCAGAAAGCAATGTAAGATAGCAGATATATCATGATCTGTAACAGGGGGAAAAAATATCTTATATTAAGTATAAGACAAGAAAGACATGCATCTGAAGAACACATGATATGTGTAAATACCTGTAGATAAAGAGGCTGTGTCTACAGTTTTTACACCAAACTTTAACTTTTGTTTCCCTTTAGCCCACACTAACAATCGGTCTGCAAAGTCCTTTCGTATAACACGGGTAGTTTTTCCGTCCACAAATATGACAAACTTTGCCGACTCTTTTTTTGTAGCTTTTTTAAATTTATCGATGACTTCCTCCTCTAGGCGTTGTCTACGACGTTGGACTATATCCACGGAATAATGAGCCAAGTTACAAATGTCTAGCCTGAAAATGAAATTATCAGAAATTTGTATTATTCAAACTCAAGCTATGTACTGATCACATTTTGTATATTTGTACATATATTATAAATAAGGTGACTTGTAGGTCCAATGAGCCAGGTGTCTTTGTATGTATTCGTATCATGTATCATGTGAAACTGATATAATGCACAATGTCGTTATAATAAATAATTTACTTACTTACTTACTAAATATTCCACAAAGACTTGGAACAGTTGAACAAACTAAACTGTTACTAACTGGTTAAGTCATACAGATAGTTCATTATTTAATTTATAGATCTCTAGCCTGGAACATTATTATTAGAATTAGCATTGCATAGTGTGGCTGGGGTTAAAAAAACCTTCATAACTAATATTATAATAGTGCACATTTGTAACTACATCATGTTTCATTGTAATGGACATATAAATCTATTTAAGTAATTTCCTATGTATGTATGTAGTCAATGTTTAATGAGGGTCCATCCGCACGGTAAGGCTCAAAATGCAGCTTTTGTTGTCGAGTACAAACCCCGGACATGTCACCTCAGCCATGCCCTTAAAGAGTTAATTTTTAAGCATTAAGTGGTCATGCAATTTCAACGGAGTGTTAGCCAAAGATATGAATTTTGAGCCAAAAGTAGGTCACTGTACAGCGTCAATGAGAGCCTAAATGTGCAGTAACCTTGAAATAATTTCAATTTTTCCCCCTGTTTATATAAGGGCCATATATTCTGTCAAAGATCTTAAACTAATATCATACAGGTGGAGTGGACTAATAAAACTGGAATTCAACTTACCATGGTTCACTGGAATGATCAAATTTTACAGGAAGTTCTCTCACATCATCCTAGAAATATCAAAACAAGACTGGTTTTTAAAAATTGAATAAAAGTATATGGGTTTTAAAATGAATCATTTAGTACTATATAATTAGTATAATAGTTGTATAATTAATAATGGGCTTAATTGATTAAGTCTTAATTAGTTTTTAGGCCTTTCTAAATATTAACAAACTGGCAATCCATATAGCATTGGTTGAAATACTTAAATTGGTTGTATTTTCAGCCTGGAAATTAAAATATCCTCCCACCCCTTGACCCGTGGTCAAAACGGTGCTTTTCGTTGGCACATCTGTTGCCCCAGATAAAGTTACTATAACTACCATATCAAGCATTATAGCCAATTTAGGTCACAAACTTCAAAAAACTTTTCAAAAAAGATATTTGTTTGTATTCTGTCTGGGACATTGAATTCTTTAATTAAAGAATGAGGCTATTCAGCTAAAATACTTAAGTTTGTGGTTCTAATTAGGTGCAAGGTCTTTCTATGTTTTCTTCTTCATTAATTTATTTATCTTGATCCAAAACAGCTAGACAAAAATAACGCCCCAAGGCGCAGGGCATCACACAGACATCAAACTAGCATAATCCAAAGTGGTTTGCTAGTACAATTGATGGAATGATCTTTTTTATTTTGAATCTAACTATTTATTAATCTGTATCACACTTTTTTTATTGTTAACTGTAAATAATTGTAAAATTTACCTCGGTACAAAAGTTTGAAACGCTGCAGACTTCCTTCAAGTAATCCAAAGGGAGGTAATTCACTAAAGAAACAGAACTGAAATGAGAGAAAAAAATCAACAATAACAATTTTACAATGCATAAACCAGTAGAGCACTAGAATGAAATAAAGCCATTCAATAAAAACAATAATACACTATTTAATGTTATAACTTTGTAACATTACGTAATTTGTGTGATATAAAGGTAGCGTAAAAATGGGCTATTGTTTCTCTCTTGTTACGTTGTAATTGAAAATATTACATCTCGAGTCCACTCAGTGAAATATATTTTGATCTTCCATGCAAAACAAACGAATATCCTTTCTTCCTCTATTGAAGAGTATAAAATTATAAAAAAAATGTTAAATTTGGACTCTTCTGCTGAATTTTCACAAAAATGAAAAAAAAAAAAATTAAAAATACAATAAATTAGAAATGTATCTTGAAAAATGCATACAAAAATTAATTTTTTCCCCAAAATAAATCTGAAAAATACCAATTTTAGATAATACACCTGTTAGACTAGTACAATCCTTTTATAAAATTATGAAAATACTTAAACAAAGTACAGAAATGTTAACTACTCTAAACCATCATAAATTGATCAGCAGCCAAAATTTGAATAGAAAATATCAAAAGATTTTAACTCCCGTATCAAAATGTCACTTTGGGCGTACAAATTTTTACAATAATGGAACAAAAAACTGCATTGTTTTAGTTAAACGTTAGTACTATATATTACACAAATAAATCATGCTTAGGTTTTATATTAAAATATTTGGCAATTGATATAACATTTTTGTGGACAAGTTTAAAATTTCTCATTAAGATATTGTTGATTAATTAACAGGTGCACGTTTTTTTTAATTGTACAGAGGTTAAATATATATTTTGGAATGAAAGAATCCACCCCTATTCAAGAAGTAGTGAAGCACTAAATGTTTAAGGTTAAACTAACTATTTTGACCAGTGTCACACTAAAATGATATAAACCTGGAATCCTAGGAGGATTTTAAAATAAATAATAAAAATCTAAAAAAAAAAACAAAACAAAACCCTAGGCAAAAGGAGGAATTCATGGAAAAAGGGAGCCTACATATGAATGATATCTTTAGTTCTTAATTAAATTTCTATTTGATTTTTATCAATGTAATCATCATCATCAAAATTTTTATATATTTTAATGTTACTAATACTATTATAATTTGTATTTTTATCACCATAATTTAACAACATCATCACTATCTAATCATCATCATTATCATCACCATTAAATATACATATATTTTCATATTACTTTTATCATTATCATTAAAAATTATTGTGTCACATCAGCACCACAATCATCACTACTATCATCATTATCATCAGTACAATTATCATTATCATTGTTATCATATTATTAAAATCTTTACCAGAATCATCATCATTATAATCATAGATATCAACATTTTCATAACCAAGACAATCATCATCATCATCAACAACATCATCATCACCACCACCTCCATCATCATCATCATCAGTACAATAATATGTCAATATAAACATTTTTATAATCAAGACTATCACCAACACCAATATCATCATCATTAGCATCATCATCATTAGCATCATTACTTTTCTATACTGGTTTGGAGATAAACTCGGCCGAAAATCAGTGTTTTGGCGGCATATTTCATTTATTTGTTTACGTATTCTGATGAATCTTGCACCATATTAAACTTCAGCTCTTCGATTTTCCGGTATCACCATAAAAGTTATATTTAGAAACATAACGGGTAATTTTGAGAGGCCCTGGAAGAGGTACGTAAAAAGGATATTTTTAACGCGCGCGAGTAGATAATTTTGGCTCTTTGTTTTTTCTTCTTAATTGAGTAAGTTAAAACGTAAAATAACATGTTTAGACATTTTATTATTTCTTTGCTGTTCATTTATGTCAAATAAAAAATATTTGTTATCAAAATTGTTGAGCATTATGTTAGTATAATGAATATCTATGATAACACGATATTTATATGCAACGTACTATGTAACACATAAATCATTTTTACATAAAAACACATGCATTATCATTTATTAACGTATAACGAAATATGTAGTTAAAGAATTAGTGATTCAAATTTATTTTTGCTTAGCTTAACAGAGTGAAGAAGAAATTAATTTAGTGGTATTCAACCTACACATTAACATATAAAAGGAGCATTTAACATCAGTCTTTCAATCCATTCCACTTAAAGATTACAATTGTGTAATCAGCCGTTTTCTGAGTAAGCAAGACAAAAGTAAATCGGAATTTCATCTTCAAAATGTATACGTAAACGTCGTCTGCTTTACCGGTAGTCGGTATATATCAATATATAAAAGTACCCCTGTGCGGGCCTCAAAATGAGCATCTGCAGCACATGCGCACAACAATGGGATTCCCGTACTTTTTATAGGCATGTTTTGTAAAAAAACAGGTAAAAGTCTGTGTTATTTTTTAAATTTCCTACCAAACTTACCAAAATTTACAGATATTGTCGAATTCCAGCAATAGTATGAGATGGTGAGCTTGATTAGATTAAAAATTCAGATACCTCGCTTTAATTATAAAAAGCCGAGTTTATCAACCAGCCGAAGTTATCTCCCCAACCAGTATATCTTATACTACTTTCATTATCATCACTTGTTTGTTCAGCCACCCCATCATTAATACATTAACATTATTACTACTGTCTGAATCACAATAATAACTCTTACCATTATTTGTAATTTCCTATTATAAAATCCTTTATCATAAATACCAAAATACCATCAATTAATTTATTATACCATAAAAATATATAAATAATCACCTATAGTAATAGTTAGTTCAACACACACTTATTTTCCATAGAGAGGTTTTAATGTCATTTTTAACATTGATACTATTTTAACTTTCACCTGTCTACAAATAAATTCCCTATATTTGACTTGAATGTCTAAAATTATAACAATATGTTGAATTAATTGCTGTTTATTTTAGACTAAAAACCCCAACTTTAAACAAACACACCAATATAGATCTACTTCTAAAACCTCTTTATATTGCATATTGATGATACAGTTAAAAAAACATAGGCCAGTCAAAAATAATTGAATGTTTTTCCATGTGTTTAATTTAACAATTAAATTAGTTAAACAAAACAAGAGTTACCACTGGGGCATCAGTTTTAGCTATTATTAATAGGTCTAAGTTATTGCCCATGCATGTGGTATAGGGAAATAAATTATTGATTTACTTTACTGAGTCCATACAGGGGGATAATTCAGTATAATTCCATACAAGAACAAGTAAAATGGTTTCCTGCGGTGAACATTTTAATGATATAATAATATTCATTAAACTATTTTCATTTTTTTTTGGGGGGGGGGGGATAAATAAACGTTTGTATCAGGAATATAGTTGACAATTGAATAAACGATCAATATAGAAGAAGGTCTTTGGAAACTGGTGACCGTTGAAGACCGGAGAAGGTCAAACATAAAACAATTATTTCTTTTTAAGAAAATGATTAAATAGGCCTACCATTTTATGAATAATTCCGAGCAAAAAATAAATAACGTAAACACACAAGACTTTAGTGTACGCAGAAAATATCTTTATTTATTATGGCAGATGCCCCTACGAATATTTTAATTCTGTAAATTTTCAGTATAAACAATTCATTGTTTGTAAAATTTGAGATAGATATTAAAGAAATATTGATAATTTTCAAACACATCATTCAAATTTTTCACCTTAAACGGTAAAATAATTATAGAAAATTAGAAATATCACGTAATAATTTTTTGTTCTTGATAAGCTGTAATTCGGACTTAAATCCGTAACATACCAGCAAATGGTATTTAGCTAGGTTTTCGAAAAGGTCAATTAACCAATCATGTACGGTTTACAGATCACATGCTCCTCCATGTACCGAAAACAGGTCACGTGCTCCTCCATGCCTCAAAAGTTAAATGTGTACCAATACCCGGTCTCCAGACCGCAGGGAATTATGGTATTAGACAATGTACATTATTGATGTACAAAAATTGTAATCACAAAAATATATGTAATACTTTCAATGTTTGATAAGATAAAAAAAAATCAGGATTTTTTTCTTAAAATTCATAAAAGGGTAATATTTAATAAAATAACAGGCAAGAGTTGTGGGTCTTGTTAAGATATGTACAAAGTGATCAGAAAGTTTAAATGTAATATGTCTTCAAAGTGAATGGAGATAAAACTTTCAAGAACTTTTTTTAAATTCCACTAAAAAGGGGAATAATTTAATAGAATTCCTTGCAAGATTTATTAGTCTTGTTAAAAGATATTTAATGTGTTTGCATAGGGAAATCATTCAGTTCATGGTTGATAAAAAATGCCAAATATCTTTCCTCTAAGCATAAACGTTTTTAAGTTTGCATTTCAAATGACTCTAAAATAAAGGTGAAGAAAATTAAAAAAATATTTTTCACAGATAAAACAAAATTACAATATCAAAAAAAAAAAAATTAATAAAGAAAAGAAAGAAAGAAAACAACCATTATCTTTTAATTTCTGTAAATTATAACAAGAGCTGTCGTTAGGACAGCAACGCTCGACTATTCTTAGTGCTTGATAGTAAAAAAAAATGCTTGATACAATTACCTCCTCCTGTTTACAGGTTCGGGTAATGATGGTGAACAAGTGTGCAAAGTTTCAAAGCCATATGTCAATGGACTTTGAAAATATTTGAACTATTACAAAAACTTTAACGTAAATTCTAAGTCGAAAAAGGGGCATAATTCTGTCAAAATGCTTGATACAGTTACCTCCTCCTGTTTACAGGTTGGGGTCATGATGGTGAACAAGTGTGCAAAGTTTCAAAGCCATATGTCAATGGACTTTGAAAATATTTGAACTATTACAAAAACTTTAACGTAAATTCTAAGTCGAAAAAGGGGCATAATTCTGTCAAAATTCTTGATACAGTTACTTCCTCCTGTCTACAGGTTGGGGTCATGATGGTGAACAAGTGTGCAAAGTTTCAAAGCCATATGTCAATGGACT